CGCGACGAAAACAATGTTGAGCAATGGCAATGTCGAATGGTGACACTCGGTAAGTAATCCTACAATTTTTTGTTTATAGCGTAGTTTATACGGATTATTCCCAAAAAATATATACGTATTTTGGAAATGTTGAGTCGGATTAGTCTAGAATCGATTAATTTTATGGAAGAAAATCTTTCAAACAGCCGTAGTCCGTAAACTTTACACGTGTCGGGTTGTGATTGGAAGGATTCGTAAGAAAGCGGATTCCTAGAGAATGGAACGTATCTCTATCTTATAGGGGGGTCGACTGTATAATAGCAAGTGTTTTAATTTTTGGAACCTAACCCTCCTTTTCGTACTAGTTCTTTGTTTAGCATAACACGGATTCGCATAACACGACAATTTTTTGGAACGTAACTATCGTGTTATACGGGGGTTACCTGTATTATTAAAAAGTCTCCGTATTTAACGGCATAATGTTCGTCGTTTCAAAACGATGGATGCAGCGCGCGAACATTTCATTTCTTGTAAATAAATAGGCATACAGCTAAATTGCACGTGTTAATTAGCATTCAATTAGACTGATTGTAATCAAAATATTTGCGATTATAGTATGTAAACTCTACTGTATGTTGTTAATGAATTACGGACTTACCCAGGCACGGTCTTTCACTGGCAGTGTTTTCGAATTATTTGCAGTTCCAAATCACTGAAATAAAATCATCATTAGTGTATATGTACAGTACATACAGCACACAAAAACAATGTCACTTGAATAGCATACAGCGACAAAGAAATGTTGCTGTTCGGAATATTTTTAAGATGATTTTTAGTACAACCTTACATTAACGTATAAATTCGACTTTTTATTATGGGATTAAAAAGTACAGCTTTTTGTTTCTATTTATCAGGGAAAGGAAGATCTTTGAAATTACCTCAGCTCATCGATATGGCCGCGCAAATAGCGGCAGGCATGGCCTACTTAGAGTCTCAAAACTACATCCATCGCGACCTGGCGGCCAGAAACATCTTAGTGGGAGAAAATAACATCGTTAAGATCGCCGACTTCGGTCTGGCTCGACTCATTAAAGTAAGACCCGGTTTTTTTCCTCAATTTAATTGTATCCCAACGCGTTTAACGAAAACTCTATTGCAGGAGGACGAATACGAAGCGAGAGTGGGTGCCAGATTCCCCATCAAGTGGACCGCCCCCGAAGCAGCCAACTACAGCAAATTTTCTATAAAATCCGACGTTTGGTCGTTTGGCATATTACTGACCGAACTAGTCACTTACGGAAGAATTCCATATCCGGGTACGAACAATTTACTATCTTCATTCCTTATCGTATGTTGTACGGTATTTGTGGTATCCTTTTAAAAATATGACAGTGTAGTGCCGTATTACCATTCCGATTCTATCGATTACGCGATATTATATTTATCGAGCGTTTTGTTAGTCCTTGGTAATTCTTTTTTAGTTATATAATTTTATATTAAAGAATTTAATATATTTTTTAAAGGTATGACAAATGCGGAAGTTCTTCATCAAGTGGAGCACGGCTATCGCATGCCGTGTCCGCCGGGCTGCCCTTCCACGCTGTACGAAATCATGTTGGACTGTTGGCACAAAGATCCCATGAAAAGGCCAACATTCGAAACCCTGCAGTGGAAGTTGGAAGACTTCTTCACAATGGAAGGATCCGAATACAAGGAAGCTTCCATCGCTTATTGATTTCGTTCCAAAGTTTAAAAAAAAAAAATATGTAATTTAATACCAAAGTTTCGAACCGGCAGAGAAAGTTGTTTCAGATAAGCTATATTGTCTTTTAATTTGCCACTATTGTTTCTCGATAGACGGAGAATTACAGCTCGAGCACACACACACACACACANTCGGTTATCTAAACTAGCCTGTAGGTGACTTCAGTTCTATCAATAATGTACCAGCATATATGGAAAATGAATGATTTTTTAATACTCAAGTACAAAATATAATTGAAAATATATGAAAAATTTGAGTTTTTTCCCTGTAATGTATGGATGTTAGTGTGGGGGGGGACGATTTTTTCACTCAATTTAAAGCTTCATAACTCCTATGCCTTTTGTCGAAAATTTCTGAAATTTTGCAGGTATATTTATGTTTTCGGGGTAAATATTTCTGGAAATTTTCAATAAAATCGAATCATTGATTCGGAAGATATTAACGTGTGGCGACCCTATCTCAAAAAGCTTAGTGTTATATTTTTACTCGTACCAATTTTTAATTGAACAAATAAAAACTCGTCTCTACCCTAAAAAATAGACTATTGGTCTTCTTATTATAACTGATAATAAGTTACAGAAGTTATTTTTTAAAATAAAATCTCGTAACAAATGGTGCCACAATTTTTTTTAACTTTTCTAATATCTTTCTTAATTAAACAAACATTTTTCGCCGGAAAAGTTACGCAACTCGTTGCTGGATTTTTACCTTCTCGGTTGTTATGTATACATAACAAGGGAAACTTTAGAAATACCGTCCGAGTTTTATACAAATCTCCACGTTACTATAGAAGAGTTATCTCTACTATAGTATTTGAGATATTACTTTCAACAATTTTCGAGACAGGAAAGCTCTTTTATAATAAAAAAAAGATTTCTTGGATGTGTATTGACGTCTATTTCGCTTAATTAATATCTCAGAATGGGGTAAAGATTAAGAAAGAAAATTTGGCACGGTGAGGGTCATTGATGCTATTAAATTTTGGTGGTAAAAGGTGGAGGGGCGAGGAGATAGAGGGGGGGGTCAAGTATCTCGAGGGGGTAAGACTTAATAACGAATAAAATCTTCATTAACATTTACACTTTTCCATAAAACTCACCCCTGCCCTCAAAAATTATGCCTTTTTCCATTTTATAGTTAGTAAAAATAGAAAAAGTTTTTCTAACAAAATTTGATAACAGATGGAGCCGCACACAATTTTAGTTTTTTTTTTCCTTTTTTTTTTTGCTTAATAATGTAAAAGTTTTTTTTAATAAAAACTCATAACAGCTGGAAAATTTATGCAACTCTCGTTGCTAGATTTTTTTTTTAAATTTTAGGGATTATCACGTTCGCCAATGATGAACAAAACTGAGGCTAGCTTATGGCTCCTTTGTTCTAGTGTTAAGCGTTAAATCTACCCAACTTAAAAACCAATTTCTTTCCCATTGATGTTTCAGAATGGCACTTAATTAATTTGAACTGCTTTAATTGCTAAATTCGTAACGATTTAACAATAACAACGTTTCATTTTATGACTCGAAAGTGTCAATATTACACGTGTCGCTTATGTACCACGTTTTGTTTCTAGAATTAATGAATTTAAAAATTAATTTCGAATTCGTTTACCTTTTTGTTAGTCGAATCTTTACACGCTGCATCCGTTCTTTAAAATAAGATGTCCGGGTTTTCTTTCGTTGAAGGAAAGCTGATAAAAGTTAATAAAATAGTTATTAATAAAGATAATTTTTGCACGTCTACTGCATTAAAAAAAAATCAAGCAAAATAACAGACGGAGAGTAATTAAAGATATTTGGAAAAATTGAAAATTAGGGACATAATTTTAAGCTTAAAGTATTGACAAAAGCTTCGTTGTTTCAATAAAACTGTACAATANCTTCGTGTCTTTTGTAGGTCGAGAGCCATCACCACGATTTATTCACACGATTTTAGAACGTACTTTTTCACATTGTTTCGAGTCATATTATCTGTTACGTCTCGGTGTAGATTTAGTGTTCTAAAATCCTAGAATGTTTTCCAAAAAAAAAAACAACTTTTTGACTTAAAAAAAGAAAGAAAAAACTTTTAAGCATGTTTTAAGATCCGAGAGAGGAATATATTAGGATAAATATTTGGTACTTATTGATAATGTGTGTTGAACTCTTTGTAGTAGTTATTACTTATAGACAAAACGACAATAATAAATAAATAATTGCAAATATTTCAAGGGTCCATTTGCCACTCTTATATGCCTTATTACGCACTTCCATGTTAACATAGGTGCCTGAAGGGCTTTTGTTTACCTTTTTCATTATCCTGTATATACGTTTTTATCGTTTAATATCCATCGATAAGAAAGAAAAAGAAAGTCTCACATTGTCATTTATACAATCGATAATCACATTTGTGCGAGATGTATGATAATTACTTGATTTGTACGATGTTTTGTGTTAAAATACAGTCAAATTCCTCTACATACATATATATATATTTTTCTGTACAGTTCTGTTTGTAACATATGTTTTTTCCCCCTCTCTTTTTTTACGAGTACAAAATTATTTGTATCAGGGAATATAACCAGAAAACTATTGTGGCATTGCATCATTCACTCATTCGAGAACAATCCAAGAGGTCAGAGTTCATTTTATACTTTAAAAAGTTTTTAAAAAAATAAAAAATAAATAAATAAATACCAAAGCGAGCATCTGGAACTCTCCGACGTTTGTTTAGAAGTATAACGTACTTTAGATGTGTTATTAGTTTTTGCCAAGTCCCACGGTCGTATAAAAAAAAACACACACACACACACGAGTTCGCAGTGTGTTAGTAAAACGTAAAAAAGAGGAAAAAAAACACTGCTAGCTTCTGTATATGGTACTGTAGTGTGCTGTTGTATGTTTATGCATGCAGTCTGTATGTATAATGATTGTCATTCGAATCTCTGCTTGTATACTTTGTACCTTATGTATTATATAAATATATTTGGGAAGGGTTCGCCCCTCAATTTGTAGAACATTTTTAGCACTTTTTTCAGTGCCTCCTTTTATTATACAACTGTGATGACGATTTTGTGAGCTGTTGTAATAATTGCTTTGTAATATTTTGACTGAAAATAAATGGTGGCACATTTTAAATTCCAGATTCGACATCTTTCGATTCATTAAAATTGAAATTTTTACTCTATCTCTTTGCTGTTTAAAAGTGTGCTTTCTTTTCCTTCCCCCCGTAACGTTTCGGTATATTATAGAAATAAAAGTGCAAACCAAAAGTCGGTTAACCACTAGAAACAACAATTCAGTGCCGAACGATTTACGTTGGGTGAACAAATTTGTTCGACGATTGTTGTATCGGAAACGATCTGGTTAACCGACATTTGGGCCGGACTGGCGGTAATTATGCTATTCGAGATAATTAAGGTCAATTTTTTCATCTTCGAAATATGCAAATCAAGTTAAACACGCGAAACGATGGCAATAAAGTAAATTGCAAACGTTTCTCTATTTTCGGACAACTGGTCTTTCGTACACGCGTTGACATTTTCTGTCAAAACTGCCCTAGCTTACGAGACAATGGGAAGTCTTCACGTAAAATGGACTTTTCCACCTCCTATTTCACAAAGAAAGACCAAATTTATATTTTTAATATTGATAGAAAAGGCAAAAAGCTGTGTTCCTTATTGTAAATCTGCGTCTCGCTTTATAACTTTTCGTTAGAATAAACTTAATTTCTGGCCTTGTGGAAGTTACTAGAATTTTAATCTCTGGACTTTGAAAGAAAAAAAAAAGAGAGCCACAGTTTTGTCAAATTTTTAAAAAAGTCCAGCAACGAGTTGCGTAACTTTACCAGCTGTTGTGAGATTTTATTTTAAAAATAAATTATATTACAGTAGAACCTCGAAAACTCGGCCTAATGTGGACCGAAGGGTGGCCGAGTTTGTGAAAATGCCGGGTTATCGGGAATGGGGTTAAAAAAAATAAGTACGAGTGTTTCCTCAGAAAATACTGTACCGTACTTGTATGTATTGTTTACTTGAGAATATAACAGAGAATAAACTGTCCAAACAAAGGAAAAGTACGTCCTTTATGAAGAATGAGCCTTTACTACATGAAAATGAAAATTAATGAATACACTGTGTACAGTAATTTACCTGATAAGACAGACCTCAGAAAAATACTTTATGAGAGCTTTTATACTTTTATAAAGCTGTCTATAATGAAAATTAATTAACTAAGGATTTTTTGCCCTACCAGGGTGTGTGGCCGAGTTATCCGGAGTGCCGGGTTATCGAGAGCCGAGTTTTCGAGGTTCTACTATATTAATCATAATAAACAAAATTGTGTTGTGGCGCCATCTGTTATAAAAATTTTCATTAAAAAACTCTCGTATTATAAAATGACAAAAAAAAAGATCTCAATTTTAAGGGTAGTGATGAGTTTTATTTATTATTTTTTTTAATTGTAAATGCTAATAACGAGTAAAATCTTCATTGAGTCCGACCCCTCTCGAGGTGATAGTATGACGCGTGATCACCTCGACCTTTAACCTCTTATCCCCCAATACACCTACGGAATTTTTCCCCTTTTCTTTTTTGTATTAGATAAATGATATTCAAGAGCAGACATGGAAACTTTAGGGGCTTTTGGATTTTTGACTCGTCCGTATTCGATCCCTGGTCCCCGCAACGGTAGGCTCTACAATATTACAATAATTTATTAGGCTATCTATACTAATATTATAAAGAGGTAATGTTTGTAAGTATCGTACATGCAATAAACTAAAACGTGTATTTGCGATTTAATGGAATTTATATACATTGTAATGTATTTGTGTGTGAAATAGAATCTGCCTTGCACTCTCCACGCACTTTGCTAGCAAGCAGCGCAAGCCAATGGTCACTTGTAGTGTGTGACTGACGTATACACACTACAAATATGACGTGCTGTTATACGTAACAGAGGGAAAGTGTGGCGATCGGTCAAAAAATTACCCGAAGATTTTTACATTTTTTGACTCGGGATACCTTAAAACGCCGAGAAATTAAAAAAAAATTCGGGGTTGCATCGGAAGTTCAAATCCGGGCCTCCTGCCCTTGAGGTTTCCATATCTGGTTTCGTCTTTCATCTAACTCTCTTCTCAAGATTAAGGAAAGACAGACGGACGACAGTGAGAATTTATAGGTCTACAATTTTTTCAAATTGCGGTCCAACAAAAAAAAAAAACTGAAATTGCACTGATTAGCAGAATAATAGAGTTCAATGGGGACAGCTGGCAATCCTAGGTTCTATAGCCAGATATTCGGGATTTTTCGTGACAAACGATTTGTTATCGTACACTAAGCATCTTACCCTCAACGCGACTAATTAAATACATCCTTTCGTGTTTGATTTGACACTTTGAACGCCCTCCAATTGGGCACAATGCCCACATTACTATTTCGGTATTGCGCGAGTGATTAAGTCGTTCTTAAAACGTTTCGAATCAATCTTTCCACCCGTCGGATCAACAGGACATGTCTGGAATTGCAAACAGAATACCATCAATCTTTTGCAAACAACCATTCAACGTTTTGCAGTGTTTTACATTTCAACACAGTAAATACTTTGTGTCATCGCACCGATTCGTTACGTCAGAATCATTGCTATAGTAAGAAAGACCGGTCGATTAGATGTGGCTATAAATAAATTATTTGGTGCAGGAGAGTTTCTGATTGGAATAACTAGAGAATGTGATAATTTAGAACTAACTAAAGTCCGACCCCATTCGAAATACGATATGTAACTCGAGTATGACCCCGCTATATCCCACCCTCTCGACCTTTAACAACCGAAATTTAACAGCATCAATGCCCCTAATAAACAAATCTTCCTGCAAAATTTCAGAAATTTTCGACAAAACGCACAGTAGTTATTAACCTTCAAACAGGGTAAACAAAATCGTGCCCCCACACATAAACACACACAAAAATTATCCCCGAATTTTTTTGCATTTCTCGACGTTTCGAGGTGTCCCGAGTCCAAAGTTGTAAAAATCTTGGGGTCATTTTTGACCGAACGCCATATTTTCCCTCTGTTATATATAACAGCCGGAAAAAGTAAAATAAAAATATTACCAAACACAAACATTTTATTTAATTAACATTAACACAAAATATAAATCAACTGAATTTTTATTCGTGTTTACTAAACAGTTTTGACAAAATTTTTCTGGTATTTTTGTCTTTAGTGTTACGATTTTATTTTCACGGTGCATTCGTATTATTCCGTACGATTTCGCAACAACAATTACAGTTCACCCCCTATAACACTGTTGATTTTTCCGTTTTATATGAATTCCATGTTGTACGAGTCACTTAGATTTTACAAATACGTGATCCGTTCACAGCCCAGCACACGTATTTGTAAAATCTAAGTGGCTCGTACAACATGGAATTCATATAAAACGGAAAAATCAACAGTGTTATAGGGGGGTCGACTGTGTATTAGTTTTTATCTGCACTTAGCCAGAGGGTTCAAGATCTTTAAACGTGTTGAACCTCTAGCACCGTGCCACCACACTGAGCGAGAAACAGTGGAATGTTATGCAAGACATTTTAATTTTTCTGTGCTGACGAAATGCCTTATTTCTCTTTCTGTTTCTTCGCAAACTTTAATTACGTCTTTGCTGGCACGTGTCAATGGTTCATTATCTTTCAGCTTAGTTTTATTCGATTACGGCAACGCAAAACATGGGCGATCTGCAGTAGGTCTTTCATGGGAAACTGGCCCCTATTTAAGTGTTACTATGTTACTAACGTGAAGAAAACCTGTAAAACTCCACGTGCCGGGCCAGTTGGCCAGGAGCGAACCAACGACAAGTCCACCAGTGGTGGACCTCATTACCTCTCAGAACCAGCTGAAATCCTGCACCAGAGTTATTACAAGAGAATTTCTCCTCGCAATACTTTCCGCCGAAAATCCTTCAACGTATTCAATACTTTAGGCGAGAAAAATGTTAAAGATACAAACAATAAATCCGAGTTCAGGGAACAAGAATTAGTACGGAGTACAAATGAAATGAAAGAGCACGTCTAGGGTTCCTAATCTCGATTTACGTAAGCAACACCACCAATGTGTCGGAAACGTCACGTGTCACGAAACTCGTTCAGTGAACTGTCCGAATGAACGAGTTGGTACCATATGATATTCTTCAACGGGGTTAATCCTTCTGCCAGCTTAATGGCGTCACTTCCGGTTTTCAAGTAGCTTCCCTAAACTGCCACTCCGCTTACTCTGGGGACGCAATGCGTAATATTCTTCCCGAATAGGAGTAATCATTACAGATATCGATCAGGCTCGCTCAGAACTAGAGTCGCACGCACGCAACACGTGACAACACATACACTCAATGTTTTCGGGACCACTGTCGTCTCCGTCAATTTCGTTTGTTTATTTCCGAGTGTATCGAAGCGACGTAAAACAATTCGAAGGTCATATGCCTCGTGGAAACTGAACTGTTCAATTATTACACGGATGAGAAAACACGATACGCAGCGATGCGCGTGCTTTCGCAGAAAAAACGTAACGAGTAGGTAATAATGCCAACAAATTGACGTTTACGGACATTTTAAGATTCTTTTCGAGTCCCAAAACAGAAGAAATGAAGAAATTTCTTGGTGCGTGTCGTGAATATCGTTAGATTTACACCATGTGAAGCGGAGGAATTAAGGATGTCGATAGAGTGAAGGGTAAATAATGGACGATCCTCGGAGACGTTTCGAAATCGTAAACAAACTACCTACTCGAAATTCATAGTAAATTATGGAATCGCCGTCCGAATGTCTAATCCAGGATGATCGATTTTGTGGATTAGTGTGGATGAAGGAGAACACTTGTGAGTACTTCTTACATTATATCATTATTTAATATATTTGATAAAACTTCACATATTGTAGTATCTGAAAGAACTTATTAATGCCTGTCGAATTTTGGGGTTCGTCCTGACACACATCTTATATTTATATATATTGTTAACTTAAAAGTTACTCCATATAGAGCTTTATTTATTTATTTATTTATTTTTTCCATTATAATAACAATGGATAGAAAATAGGAAAAATTATATAAGCTAATAATAAACGTGGCATTTAAATATATAAAAAATTAATCACGTGAATAAATAAAAATGTAATAAATATTAATTTAGGGATTTTTGGTCTGCTTAGGTTTAGACACATTAAATAATTATTTTGTTTTCAGTCTAATTTATTATAGGCCTATATAAAAAAAATAGCTACAAAAAATAATAATAATAATCTATTTTTGTTTCGTATTTTAATTATGTATTTAAAAATTATTCAAAAAAACACACATGTATAAGGTTTATAAAGCTGCATAATGTAGTTTGATATAGTTTGTATGTAATTAATTTGATGTAGTTATGTAAAAAAAGACATATTTGTTTCTGTGTTTCCTAATTTTAGCATTCTAGATATCGTTATGTATTTAATACTTAATTAAAGTATTTAAGAGTAAATGTACTATGTTCACACTGTTCGAAGATGCATTGTTTATTGAAAATAATCACTAAACATAATAAAGTGTAATGATGATTTGGATAATAAATTATGAGAAGAAATAGTCATTTTCAGTAAGCAATATTCAACAGATAACAGGAGAGATTTTTTATTGTTAGCACTTACTACTCTGTTCAAATCAATACGTCATGTCGGTTATCTAAACTAGCCTGTAGGTGACTTCAGTTCTATCAATAATGTACCAGCATATATGGAAAATGAATGATTTTTTAATACTCAAGTACAAAATATAATTGAAAATATATGAAAAATTTGAGTTTTTTCCCTGTAATGTATGGATGTTAGTGTGGGGGGGGACGATTTTTTCACTCAATTTAAAGCTTCATAACTCCTATGCCTTTTGTCGAAAATTTCTGAAATTTTGCAGGTATATTTATGTTTTCGGGGTAAATATTTCTGGAAATTTTCAATAAAATCGAATCATTGATTCGGAAGATATTAACGTGTGGCGACCCTATCTCAAAAAGCTTAGTGTTATATTTTTACTCGTACCAATTTTTAATTGAACAAATAAAAACTCGTCTCTACCCTAAAAAATAGACTATTGGTCTTCTTATTATAACTGATAATAAGTTACAGAAGTTATTTTTTAAAATAAAATCTCGTAACAAATGGTGCCACAATTTTTTTTAACTTTTCTAATATCTTTCTTAATTAAACAAACATTTTTCGCCGGAAAAGTTACGCAACTCGTTGCTGGATTTTTACCTTCTCGGTTATTATATAGCCTATACATAACAAGGGAAACGTCAGAGTTTTATGCAAATCTCCACGTTACTATAGAAGAGTTATCTCTACTATAGTATTTTGAGATATTACTTTCAACAATTTTCGAGACAGGAAAGCTCTTTTATAATAATAAAAAAAATTCCTTGGATGTGTGTTGACGTCTATTTCGCTTAATTAATATCTCAGAATGGGGTAAAGATTAAGAAAGAAAATTTGGCACGGTGAGGGTCATTGATGCTATTAAATTTTGGTGGTAAAAGGTGGAGGGGCGAGGAGATAGAGAGGGGGTCAAGTATCTCGAGGGGGTAGGACTTAATAACGAATAAAATCTTCATTGACATTTACACTTTTTCATAAAACTCACCCCTGAGGCTCAAAACTGAGGCTAGCTTATGGCTCCCCCTTTGTTCTAGTGTTAAGCGTTAAATCCACCCAACTTAAAAACCAATTTCTTTCCCATTGATGTTTCAGAATGGCACTTAATTAATTTGAACTGCTTTAATTGCTAAATTCGTAACGATTTAACAATAACAACGTTTCATTTTATGACTCGAAAGTGTCAATATTACACGTGTCGCTTATGTACCACGTTTTGTTTCTAGAATTAATGAATTTAAAAATTAATTTCGAATTCGTTTACCTTTTTGTTAGTCGAATCTTTACACGCTGCATCCGTTCTTTAAAATAAGATGTCCGGGTTTTCTTTCGTTGAAGGAAAGCTGATAAAAGTTAATAAAATAGTTATTAATAAAGATAATTTTTGCACGTCTACTGCATTAAAAAAAAATCAAGCAAAATAACAGACGGAGAGTAATTAAAGATATTTGGAAAAATTGAAAATTACGGACATAATTTTAAGCTTAAAGTATTGACAAAAGCTTCGTTGTTTCAATAAAACTGTACAATAATTAACCTTGAAAATGGACACCTCGAATGAAAAGCCGCTTTCGATTGACGAACGGTGCTGTTTACTAACTGAAATAGCAAACTGTGTAACGCTAATTACAGTCATTCCAAATTTAGAAGCGTTTTTACCAACATGAAATTTAAAAAGAGGTAAAAATTTAAGTTAAACAGACTTTTCGTTGCAAATAAAAAAAACAAAATTGGATACAATGCTACCATTTCCTGCTACTGAAATAGAACCAAGAGTGTAATTAACTCTTCAAAAAGAAAATTTATTGACAACTAAAAGCAATTTTTTTTTTGTTTCTTTTTAATTTAAATTGTCGACTGTATATTTAAGACTTTTCTACCTTAAAAATATATTTCATTTAACTGACTTTTGGGACACTGATCTGAATAGGCGAGAATAATCTTTTAAATTTAGACGATCGGATGGCCGAGCGGTTAAAGTGTCAGCTTATAGCTCTGGGGCCCGGAAACCAATCCGGACGAGTCGAAAAGCCCCAGGAAATTTTATGGAATTGTCCTTCCGAATATGTCGGGTGCAGTTCCTCACCACCCGGCCCCCCATTGTGGACCTGACCGAACCCACGATGGTCTTGATTAAAAAAAAACCTCTTAGCGAGTCTTTTTTAATCAAGTCCGTCCATTTTTCTCGGATGCATCCCAAATTTCAGCCTTTTCTCTGGGTCTAGGAGGAGTTTTCAAAATATTGGGAAGAGCCTACATTTCATGTATTTATATACTTTTTTGAAAGTGGACATGCAATTAATTAAAGTGTAAATTAATGCATTGATTTACGATGCATCGTACATTACATACTAATGTTTGCTAGCAACTTAATTTTATTTAATGAAAAAAGTGAGTCTTACATTTTCTCCTAATATCCTTCATTTTGAAGCATATTAGACGAGTGGATAAAACTACTGAACACTTGTCGACCAATGAACGAACTGACAGCCTGGAGTTTTGCGGGTTTTCTTCACAAGTCTAACCACCTAAATAGGGACCTGTTCCTCATAAAAAGTCCTGCCAGGAGGCATCTCCTTGGCAGACAGACCATTGCGTTGCCTTATCCCACTAAACTAAACCTTCATTTCGGAGAAAAGTGTCCTCTGTTTTACTCCATCAAGCCACCTAACTATGGAGTACCTTTTTCCAGATTAGATGGAGTGTTCCCGCATGGAGAGCATTAAAGATTGGTTCGCACTGAGCGAAAATCGATTGCAAATTTTAAGCAGCCGATCATTTGCAAGCAAGAGAAAACGTCAGTTCGAAAAACAAAATGGCTGCTTCCGATATTCTGTTGTTAATCACATTTGTTTATTTATCGAGAAAAAAAAAGATATGCCAAAAAGAAAACGATGCTGGATGAGAGAAAAGTTTCTGTAGCTATATTGAAAACAACCAGAACCACGTGACAACTAGCAGAAATACGATTGGTGGCTCGTCAACCAATGGCCAAGCGGTCTACGTTCCTTGAACACTGGGAGTTCGGTCGTGGATTCGCGCCTCACTCGGACGGGCTGGCCACGTGGAGTTTTCCGAGTTTTTTCCACGTCTGTAACGCCTAAATAGAAACCAGTTTCCCTTAAAAAGACCTCCCGGAAGGCATCCTCTAGGCATATCGCCCAAGTGTTGCGTTACCATAACTTATTTGGTGGTGAAATTTTTTCGCTAGAGAAAAAACTGGACAGTTCTGCACTTCGGAACGATTCGCGAAACGGTAAAATTCGCTGGAAACGACGTCATGTCTGACGTGTTTTTCCGTTCTGTTTTTGGCTTTCGCCAGCGAATGGCGTTCAGTGTGAACTAAGCTTAACTTGTATGTTAATTTTCAGGGTTTGTAGGTTCAAATTCATTCTAAATTAATCTTACCCTAAAATGTACACATTTTTATAACATAGCTGTAGACATATTTTTACAAATAAATAAATGTGTAAAAAGTTATAAATATGACAGATGTGCGCTATTTGTTTAAGAATTTAACATTTTCCTTGAATTTGTCCCAAAGATGACCCAAAAACAATTAAAAAGATAATTGAAAGTACAAGTAACTTAATGTTTTAAATGAATAAAAGTTTCACGTTGTAGACAAAATAAGTTCTTAATTAAAATTTAAATTATAATTTAATTAAGTAAAAAATAATTACAGTCGGCCCCCTATAACATTGTTGATAATTCCGTTTTATATGAATTCCGTGTTGTACGAGTCACTTAGATTTTACAAATACGGTGTGCCGTTTACAGCCCGGCACACCGTATTTGTAAAATCTAAGTGACTCGTACAACACGGAATTCATATAAAACGGAATTATCAACAGTGTCATAGGGGGGTCGACTGTATTTAAATGGAAGAAGGACGGTGCAATTGAATTTACTATAAACGCATGACACTTAGCATAGGGTCAGCAAGATTTATGAAGTTCCGGAGAACGCGTCGAACTTAATTTATGTTTACGTATTGGGCCAATTGGATCGCGTGCCGCTTTCGTCTGTGCTGCCCTTTTCCTAATCTCCAGAGGGGAGGGTCAATTTTCAATTATCGACGAACAACAGAAAATTTACGACATCTGGCCTATTCCAGAAATATAAAAAAAAAACTAACGAACTATATTTGTCCATTGTCCCATGCGACTTCGTCCTACGTTGATCAAGACTTGGCCTCAAAATCAAGGGACGTTCCTTGTTTTTTTAGGCCAAGTTAGCCTCCAGATTGCAACCGGTGCCACCTTGTGGGAGCGCTGATCCGATATAGAATCAGAGTTTGAAATTTCTTGAATAATGTACGATACCTTTTTTTATATAGCTTGTGCTCCCCCTTTTGTATAGTCTGCTGGAGTCGTTGTTACGTATAGAAAATTTCTTTGGAATTTCGTAAAACCGGAAGATCATAATTAAAGTATCTCTATTTAACGCTTTTCTAGAAAAATGTTTAGCGGTACAAATGCAACCAAATCCGGTGTAGTGACATTTCCGTAAAAACCAATACCAAAAGTGCACAGCGATATTGCTCAACATGGTGTCCATTCTGAAGGTGTAAAACCTGAAGGCGATGAACAGTGTAACTGTGATGCTTTTCACATACATTGTGATACTATCTTTTCAGGCTGTCGAATTTGCAACAAGTTCTGCATAAACCACACTAGGGCTTTTCTCGCTTTTAGAACAGCTGAATTATACAAAAGCTGTGAATGGTGAACACTCGTGTGGACCGGACAATTTCAGGAAAGTAACAAACTTAAAAGCTTTAGAATATTGTCAACTACAAACGTCGCAATTCTCATTTTATCTTTATTGGACTGACTACCCCTATTTTTTTTAATTGAATTGCTCTTTCGTCGCTTGCAGTTCCAAAAAAAATGCCAGAGTAGTATGTTTTTGTGACTATTTTTTTTTTTTTTAAATATCCACTTTTGAGTAAAGAATTGATCTTCATTAATATACTTTTAATAAACTATAGTCATTTATTACGAATTAATGCCGATTACATTTATATTTTGTAATACAGAAGAAAACCCGGAAAACTCCACGTGGCCAGGCGCGAACCCATGACCAGTGTTCATTGCTTTTAATGGCTAATTTTTTATTATTTTAGCGCATTATTTTAAGGACAACGGCTGTTGTCGAGAGGTTAAAAATAGGATTTTTAGCGGGCGAGGCCGTTATTTTGTATGCATTTTTGTTCAAAAAGAAACGTCTCCGAAAAAAAAAAATGGCCGCCGTTTAGAGGTGACCATTATCGGAGTGTATTAAACTCTTATTCGGATGATAAAAAAGTGTTGGTATAGTATTGTGTCAACTACTAAATATAAAGAGAAGTAGATTGATGTCAATTAATGACTCATGCAATTCATTTTGCTTATTTTTTTATTATTCTTAATTACACATTTACCGCTTCCCCCATGAATCAGTATGACAAATATATGTAATCGACCAGGAAAACTAAATAAACTGTATTTATTACTTACTGTACGTGTTTATGCGATTTTATTTCTAAAATCCATTAGAAATTTCATCGGAATTTTTATAGAAGCCATCTTCTACACGCTAACGGATGTGATAAACACAAAATTTAACTTATTTTTTTTTAGTAAAAACGATGTGGCAACGAACGGAAAATATATTTCAACGCATTGCTTATGATATAGCCTACTTTATAAGAATATCAACAAGACAAAAATCTCTTTTTTCCCCGACGTCATATCGGAAACACGATCTGAGAAACAAGTAATTATAAAAAGATCTTACGTCTCACTGCCGTAATTTTTACACTGATTAACAAAAGTGGGTCTATTGGATTCGGTTATGCAAGATTTTCGTACGTAATCCTGAACTATTTGTTAAGCTATGCATTTAATATAATATAGCATTTTAATCGTTAATAACTAGCCTACTTCATTACCTACTTACACGAGCATACACTGATGTAAGCAGGTAATCAGGTAGTATGCTCGTGTAGATACAGTAGGTAATGAGGTATGTTAATTTTAACTAATGGTACCACTAAAGAATTAACTGTTTATATAAGTATTTTTTATTTATTTATTTTATCTAACTGTCAGATGTTTAAAACGTCATTTTTCACGTGATTTAAATAGTCGAGAAGTTGATTGGTAGATACTGTTGAAGCTTAATAATAATTTAACGTATCTGAAATGTTTTTATAGAGCTAAGTTTACATCGTTAAATATTTTTTCGGTAAAAGTGGGCGTCGAGCTGAAAATGATGGAACTACTGGCTTACAGCACTCGCATATTTATTGATGTTGGCGTGAAGTTGAGATCACTCCATCATTATTTTTAATGCCGAGATTCCTTACACAAAACCAAGAAAAATTCCTTCCGGATAATTGATATAGTTTCGAGTATGTCCGTTATTTTCTTTTTTTCTTTTTCTTTTATTAATAAATTAATTTATTTTTTAGTCAGTATATTTAGTCAAATTCACTTATGTCAATTAAATTTTAATGATTATTTAAATAGCAAAATATTATATGCAGAGCCGGATTTATACAAGATAGAAATTGCGGCTTCACACTGTATTATTTAGTGAAAGAGACGGGCCCCTAAGCTATAAAACCCATCACTTTCACTAAAGGGACAATATATTATATTCTAAGTAATGGCGCGTAATAGCTTCATGGGCTCCCATACAAATTTGAATTAGGGGGCCCACGTACATTTTGACTACAGACATTTTTCTTCGAGGGAATTTTTGAGGAAATAATGTCTTATAAAAGAATGGTTTGGGGGCCCCAAAGCAATTGATTTTTTACCCATAAGATAACGCACCACTATAGCTTATATTCTACAGCTTACATCCACAAATCTACATCCGGCTTTGACTATGTAGGACCTATGTATGTAACTATGTGTATGTAATTAGGTAGGCACGTTTCTGTATGAAAAAGTTTTCATAATGCTTAATTTAATAACATTATTATTATTTAAAAAAACTCCTAATAACTAAAATTTATCAATTATAAATTAACAAAGTTTTACCCCTTACAAGATCACTTGAATTTATCGATAATATTTTTAAACCTGTTCAGTTTCTATAATCCCACATTTGTAATGGTTATAGAACAATTAAACCAGTTAAGTGTTAAAATTGCATGTTATTACGACAGGGATAAGATCCGAAATCATTGGCTAAAGTTCTAGCGATAGAGCAAAACATTGTCTATCGTTTACATTCAATTTATACTCATCAATTTACTGAATATTCGTCATCCGGCCATTTACCAGATCGCTAATTTAAGTCGGTTCTTCTCTCTCCTAACAATTAGTCTATGAAAAAAATTACTCTCATCTTATATAGCTCTCTCTCTTATATATATATATATTTATTACAGAATAAATATACACGAGGTCACCAGAAAGAGTTTCACCTATCCAATAAAAGATTAAAAAATAACATTTTTATAACTCGAGCTTAGAATAATAATACATTCATTGGAGCCGTCAAGGACTAAGCCATTAAACAAGGCGAAAACAATCAAAAATAGCCATAGGAAATTAGTGTAACGTCGACTGGACGGAAACGACGTGAAAGATAAGAGATGGAATGATTTAACATAAAAAAAACCGAAATTATTTATTAATAAAAGCTTACATTTTCGATCCAATATGGTTCCTAAACGTGATACTCCTCCTTCGGTATCGAGTTTTCTTGAAGAAATTCTAGCAGGTGTTTATCGACGGGCGAATTTTTATTTTCGTCAAACTCGAATGAATCTCCCGTTCCCACTCGAAAATCGTTTATAATCTTTAATAATTTACAACCTAAAAGAAAATAAAAAAAGAGGCAATATCTAGATTAAATTCTGCACTGTTTATTTGACTAAATAAGGGATTAATTCAACAGCTTATCAGTTTACACTTCTTAAATTTAATGGGATGGGGGTTGAAGTTGAAATCTTAAATCACTCATTTTTCTTTTATGTGTTTAGTTATAGGTAAATGATTAAAGTGGCCATCCTATTGAAAATCGGCCATCCTCTCGAAGCAAAAGGCACGTTTTTTAATTTGTAAAAATAACTCGGCCACTGTTAAAGAAGAAAATTATCCCGTCACTTCCGCGAAGAACAGATAACAAGAAGCATTAAGTATCATCGGAACCAACCACTGTACGTTGTAAGTGTAGCAATAGTCACCAATGAAGTATAGGAGCTCCGACGAGACTAGGAGGGGATCCGTTATGTCCTCATCTTTCAAGGCTGTTGCTGTGTCCCAAATGAAATAACCCTATCAGCATTTTCAGGTAAACTTAAATCGTTGTTATGTATTAGTGTTTAATAACGTAATTTATGTTACATCTGTACATTCGTCTTATTGTTAGTTACGATTAACTGTGCGACACTTAAGATTAGTTGTTAAAATATCTGTTAAAATTCGAATTTTAAGACGAAGAAAACACTTGGAAATTAATTCTATTTCTAGATATTTTCGTGTTCTCGAGTCTGTAGTTTATTTTTTAGAAATGTTTAAACAATTTGTATTAATTATTTAATAAGTAAAATATGCAAAAAAAAAATTTTTTTTTTTCTAACACACAAGAAATGAAAGGGGGAATAATTTATAACAAATGTTTATTAAGGTCCTAGTAACATGAGGCTGTAATGGCTTCCCCCTTGATAGGGCCTGTTAATAATTAATACACGTTATTAATTGTTCTGTTCGAGAGTTTAATTACTGTTAATTTTTTTTTTTATCTTTTACAATTGCCCATCTGTTAAAATTTCTTTCAGTTTTCCCTTTAAAGCCGATGAATATACAGATTTCTCTACTAGTTTCGTACTCTATGGTATAAAAATAATAATAAATCAAAACATGATTTTTATGTTTACAGAGCAAAAATGAATTTGTGTGTATAATACTCCAAGTTTTTACGCTATTTTCGGCCTTAGTATCGATGTCATCGTGATCTATTTATCATTATAAATATGATAAAATCAAATTATTGACTAATACGCGTATTTAATTACACTTATATCTTCTATAATCAGATCAGACGTGTACAAAAAAATATATGTATTTTTTTTGTACGCTAGTTATAAATCTCTTACCTCCTATGAGTCAGGAGCAAAAAGTAAGATCCATTATTTTTTTTTTTAACGCAAGTTTATATGGATTTTATGATCGTCACTTTCTTAAAATAACACAGTTTTAATCGGAGTGTTATCAACTGTTTATGTTATTTGGATTATAAAATATGATAATGTAAGCCGATTTTTCTTTTAGTTTATATAAAAAGATGTCGAATGATCGAGTGGAATAAAATTTCTTCGAATTTTTAGGCACGCTGATCTACTGGAAAATGAAAGCAGCTCTTTTGTTCTTGCTGGTGTTTTCGGTTTTGTGTTGTTCGGTTTTTTGTAACACATGCCAACCGACACAGGACACATACTTAAAGACGGAAGGCGATATTTTTCTGGTGGGTTTATTTGATCTTCATCATGGACGTCATTGCCAATTAGTGAAGAAAGGAGGGCAACAGCAGATGCTGGCAGCTTCGACAGTCATCGACTGGATTAATAACAGCACCATTTTTGATGACGTAAAAATTGGTATGACTTCAATTTAATTTTTTTTTTTTTTTTAAACTTTTTAATTATTGTATTGGTAAGTTAAATTAACTTTCGTAATGTGTGTTTACGTTTTGTAATGAGTTATAAATAGTTTAAATCTATAATTTTATATTATGTAGTGTTTAAAAAGGTTACTACTCTCGACTTCATCATTGTAATCGTTTACTTTTTTCAAATTTTGCAGTTTTCTCTATCAAAATTCTTATAAATCCTCGCTTAAAACTTATTTTTCCTCAATGTTTTCCTACTATATCATTTAGAAAAATGCTTCTTATATCATTTAAAATTATTATTAAATCATTGTAGTTTACTTGCATTTGTATAATGTAGCTTTAAATACACAGGAAGCTAGTACATCTCTATCACTATTTCTCCCATTGTGGTGTACTTGAACACACGAAAACAAGGCACAGTTAACTGAATTTTGGACCGCACTATATTATAAATAATTTTTTTATTAAATCTTGATTCGATTAAAACCGTTATGTGAAGGCAGTTAAATCATTTAAACAATAGTTTCACAACAGCAAACGGTTGATTATTCATAAAGAAAAGAAAGAAAAAATAAATAAATAATAGATTATTTTTGACCATTTAAAGAATGGCATTTGTATTATGTTAATTCAAAGGATATTATACGTTCTTCCGTATGACATAACAATACAAATTTTAACTAAGTTTAACGATCATTGTAAGATCAATGTCAGTATGGTACTGGTTCAGGAAGCAAGTTAAAAGAAACTGGACATTAGAAGCAAAATATGTCTCCAATTTCCAGCTTTTTTTTCCCCCTAAGAGAACAGGAAAACAGTCTCGGATTATGTTCCTATGAGGCCCTAGGCGTTATTTTGTTATAAGACCCTTTATGTAAGAATGCTTATTTTATGTTAAAAAAGACAATAAAATCGTCAGTTTGTGTATTATGCTACAGTTCTCGCCGGGGTGCGAAATATAAATTCATTAAATTTTTAAAGGTATATTATCATTTTGCAACGCAATTTTTGAGGCCCCTCGAGACGACCAGGCCCTAGGACCGCGCCTGTTGGATAATCCGCCACTGTAGGCGAATAATAATTAATAAATTATTAAAGATAAACAGAGGCTTGGTGCATAATCTTGGAATTTAATCGGAATATCACTTGACAAAATCTTATTCTTGTCGCCTCAACAACAAGTGAGATCCTGTTTTCATAATCTAATACCGATTTAGACCAATTAAAATGGATGATTTTACACAATTTAATAATAGAAACTGGGAGTTTTTCGATTAAATTTCCAGTGTCATGTGTTACCTATCAGCTTCACTTTTAATTCTCGAGGGGTGTCCCTTATAATTATATAATTTTTTTAAATATAATAATAATAATGATAAAAAAAAAGGTCCAGTTCCTCGAATGTAATTTGATCTTTGTTAGACGAATATTGTCAGATGTGTTGTGACAGCTGCAGTGATATTGACGACAGTTTATTTGTATGAAGGAGGATTTCGGTTCTCTCATTGTTATTGTTTACCCCCCTCATCCTCATCTGTGCAGAGTTTAGTTTAATTTATAGTTTATTTATTATTGAAAAGTAGGAAATTAACTTTTAGAATAACACAGGAGGCTGATGTACACAGAAGAATTCGAGGGGTTTCAGCTGATTTAGAATGATTAAAGATAAAATCATTGCTCTTCTTTCTCTTACATAATTAAATGCTAATTTAATTTGAATCGTTATTCATATTATAAACGTTCTAGAAAAGGGGGAAAAAAAGATTTAATGCTTCGCTTCGTCTGGTGAAACGTTATCCTTTAACTCTCTACAAGGTCGAAGCCACAAGTATGCATAATTATGCAGATTATTGTAATTTCAACTGTGCCATAAGCTGAAAAATTCTTTAATGCGGACAGGGAAACGTTAATTTAAATATATATATAAATTAAATTTAATATATTTTAATTAAAATGTGCCTAAAATACTATTTATTAAAGTTATTACAGTACAGAAACAACATCGATAACTACATTCAAATCTATGTTCGCCTCTGAAATTGGCACTAAATCGAGTGTAGCGCTAAAGCGAAGAACCTCAAACAACAATAACGAAACGACATTACCAAAGTAAAAAATTTTCTATTTAATACTTACTTGAAAGATCCGTTTACAGTCTCTATAAGAGGGTGGCACTGCTTAAGAATCGCGCTATATCGAGGTTTGGATGTAATTAATCAGTACTGTTAATTGGGCGAATTAACTGTGTTAATCTAAAGTCTACGTTGCAAATTATTCATCATTTTACACAGAATAAATAATGACTTTTTAAATTCCGAATAAATATTTATTGCGAATGCATAAGTAAATTTTACTTGCATCAGTGTATATAACTCACACTCCGTCCATTCATTTAATGGAATTCAAACTGCGATTATGAAGCTCAAGCTGTGAATACAATTAACGTGTTCGTATGTAGTGTCGGGTCACTTTTTTCAGGAAAACATTGCTTAATTTACTTGTTTTTTTCTCTTGCAAAATTAACTCGAATATGTAAATAATTTAATGAAACGGGTAATTAATTATTTGTTAATTTTTTCAGGTTTTTTGTCTTTGGATACGTGTTCTGACGTCCAAACTACAACTAGACAAATAATACGTGGTTTGACAGAGACGAAGTTCTTAAATTCGTGTGAACAGCATCGTTTATTGGGTAGGTAAAATGTCAAATTCTTACTCTGTTTGATGAAAATTTAATTAAAACTCGATTTTCAGGATTTCTCGGGCCTTCAAACAGCAGAATTCATAGAGAAGTATTGAATTTCTTACGCCCTTTATCTGTTCCTTACGTCCCCATCAAGATCACGGATTTACATTCGGAAATTAGGGTAAAATTATTCTGTGGACACGTAAAAACGTTTTAGATTAAATAAAGTTTAATGCTTTTCCGTTTTCTAGGTCATAGTTGAAATTTTGGCCCAATTCAGCTGGTTCAAAATCGCTCTCCTAAGCGTTAGTGAGGAACTGGAAGAGGATTTTTACCAAGCTGCTGCTGATTCAAATATATGTGTAACAGTTTCGAGTATAATAACACACTCCAGGTATTGAATTTTGAAGATTTAACACGGTCGAGGAGTTGGATTACATGTTAAAACGCTCGTATCTTTTAAAATTTATTAATTACAGGGATGATTACGATCATTTCTTCAAGGAAACCGTGGAGAAATCAATAGACGTTATTGTTTTATTGGGTACAGAGTACGAGTTAGAAGAATCTATACAATCGGCAAACTCCAACGTACAGAATAAGTTCTACTGGTTGGCAGCAGGATTGATGCAAGAGAATATCGAATTAAACCTAGATTCGTATAAGCCTGTAGTTAGATCTTTGTTAGTAGTCGAATCGTCCGAGATATTAAATAACGAAAAATACGAGAACTTAATTAAGAAATTGGATAACGAAGATTTATGCTTAGATTGCTACGCTTCTGATCCTTCCGTTCGTGCGGCCATGATGGGAGTTTTAAAGTACACTTGGGCAATGAAGAAAATCAAAGATGCCGAATGCCTATCCGAAAATAAGAAGTGTCCGCACTTGAAAAAAATAATTAAAAAGCAATTAATCAAAAAATTGAATGGTAATTTTCACGAGGAATTCAAAGAACTGCCGTTTCAAACTGGAAATTCTACAATATGGTCTTACCAAGATGCAAGCCAAAGCAACGCGATTTTTCATCAGGTAAGTTCAAACTATTNCTCCATATAGAGCTTTATTTATTTATTTATTTATTTTTTCCATTATAATAACAATGGATAGAAAATAGGAAAAATTATATAAGCTAATAATAAACGTGGCATTTAAATATATAAAAAATTAATCACGTGAATAAATAAAAATGTAATAAATATTAATTTAGGGATTTTTGGTCTGCTTAGGTTTAGACACATTAAATAATTATTTTGTTTTCAGTCTAATTTATTATAGGCCTATATAAAAAAAATAGCTACAAAAAATAATAATAATAATCTATTTTTGTTTCGTATTTTAATTATGTATTTAAAAATTATTCAAAAAAACACACATGTATAAGGTTTATAAAGCTGCATAATGTAGTTTGATATAGTTTGTATGTAATTAATTTGATGTAGTTATGTAAAAAAAGACATATTTGTTTCTGTGTTTCCTAATTTTAGCATTCTAGATATCGTTATGTATTTAATACTTAATTAAAGTATTTAAGAGTAAATGTACTATGTTCACACTGTTCGAAGATGCATTGTTTATTGAAAATAATCACTAAACATAATAAAGTGTAATGATGATTTGGATAATAAATTATGAGAAGAAATAGTCATTTTCAGTAAGCAATATTCAACAGATAACAGGAGAGATTTTTTATTGTTAGCACTTACTACTCTGTTCAAATCAATACGTCATGTCGGTTATCTAAACTAGCCTGTAGGTGACTTCAGTTCTATCAATAATGTACCAGCATATATGGAAAATGAATGATTTTTTAATACTCAAGTACAAAATATAATTGAAAATATATGAAAAATTTGAGTTTTTTCCCTGTAATGTATGGATGTTAGTGTGGGGGGGGACGATTTTTTCACTCAATTTAAAGCTTCATAACTCCTGTGCCTTTTGTCGAAAATTTCTGAAATTTTGCAGGTATATTTATGTTTTCGGGGTAAATATTTCTGGAAATTTTCAATAAAATCGAATCATTGATTCGGAAGATATTAACGTGTGGCGACCCTATCTCAAAAAGCTTAGTGTTATATTTTTACTCGTACCAATTTTTAATTGAACAAATAAAAACTCGTCTCTACCCTAAAAAATAGACTATTGGTCTTCTTATTATAACTGATAATAAGTTACAGAAGTTATTTTTTAAAATAAAATCTCGTAACAAATGGTGCCACAATTTTTTTTAACTTTTCTAATATCTTTCTTAATTAAACAAACATTTTTCGCCGGAAAAGTTACGCAACTCGTTGCTGGATTTTTACCTTCTCGGTTATTATATAGCCTATACATAACAAGGGAAACGTCAGAGTTTTATGCAAATCTCCACGTTACTATAGAAGAGTTATCTCTACTATAGTATTTTGAGATATTACTTTCAACAATTTTCGAGACAGGAAAGCTCTTTTATAATAATAAAAAAAATTCCTTGGATGTGTGTTGACGTCTATTTCGCTTAATTAATATCTCAGAATGGGGTAAAGATTAAGAAAGAAAATTTGGCACGGTGAGGGTCATTGATGCTATTAAATTTTGGTGGTAAAAGGTGGAGGGGCGAGGAGATAGAGAGGGGGTCAAGTATCTCGAGGGGGTAGGACTTAATAACGAATAAAATCTTCATTGACATTTACACTTTTTCATAAAACTCACCCCTGAGGCTCAAAACTGAGGCTAGCTTATGGCTCCCCCTTTGTTCTAGTGTTAAGCGTTAAATCCACCCAACTTAAAAACCAATTTCTTTCCCATTGATGTTTCAGAATGGCACTTAATTAATTTGAACTGCTTTAATTGCTAAATTCGTAACGATTTAACAATAACAACGTTTCATTTTATGACTCGAAAGTGTCAATATTACACGTGTCGCTTATGTACCACGTTTTGTTTCTAGAATTAATGAATTTAAAAATTAATTTCGAATTCGTTTACCTTTTTGTTAGTCGAATCTTTACACGCTGCATCCGTTCTTTAAAATAAGATGTCCGGGTTTTCTTTCGTTGAAGGAAAGCTGATAAAAGTTAATAAAATAGTTATTAATAAAGATAATTTTTGCACGTCTACTGCATTAAAAAAAAATCAAGCAAAATAACAGACGGAGAGTAATTAAAGATATTTGGAAAAATTGAAAATTAGGGACATAATTTTAAGCTTAAAGTATTGACAAAAGCTTCGTTGTTTCAATAAAACTGTACAATAATTAACCTTGAAAATGGACACCTCGAATGAAAAGCCGCTTTCGATTGACGAACGGTGCTGTTTACTAACTGAAATAGCAAACTGTGTAACGCTAATTACAGTCATTCCAAATTTAGAAGCGTTTTTACCAACATGAAATTTAAAAAGAGGTAAAAATTTAAGTTAAACAGACTTTTCGTTGCAAATAAAAAAAACAAAATTGGATACAATGTTACCATTTCCTGCTACTGAAATAGAACCAAGAGTGTAATTAACTCTTCAAAAAGAAAATTTATTGACAGCCAAAAGCAATCTTTTTTGTTTCTTTTTAATTTAAATTGTCGACTGTATATTTAAGACTTTTCTACCTTAAAAATATATTTCATTTAACTGACTTTTGGGACACTGATCTGAATAGGCGAGAATAATCTTTTAAATTTAGACGATCGGATGGCCGAGCGGTTAAAGTGTCAGCTTATAGCTCTGGGGCCCGGAAACCAATCCGGACGAGTCGAAAAGCCCCAGGAAATTTTATGGAATTGTCCTTCCGAATATGTCGGATGCCGTTCCTCACCACCCGGCCCCCATTGTGGACCTGACCGAACCCACGATGGTCTTGATAAAAAAAAAAAACCTCTTAGCGAGTCTTTTTTAATCAAGTCCGTCCATTTTTCTCGGATGCATCCCAAATTTCAGCCTTTTCTCTGGGTCTAGGAGGAGTTTTCAAAATATTGGGAAGAGCCTACATTTCATGTATTTATATACTTTTTTGAAAGTGGACATGCAATTAATTAAAGTGTAAATTAATGCATTGATTTACGATGCATCGTACATTACATACTAATGTTTGCTAGCAACTTAATTTTATTTAATGAAAAAAGTGAGTCTTACATTTTCTCCTAATATCCTTCATTTTGAAGCATATTAGACGAGTGGATAAAACTACTGAACACTTGTCGACCAATGAACGAACTGACNTTTTTTCCCCCTAAGAGAACAGGAAAACAGTCTCGGATTATGTTCCTATGAGGCCCTAGGCGTTATTTTGTTATAAGACCCTTTATGTAAGAATGCTTATTTTATGTTAAAAAAGACAATAAAATCGTCAGTTTGTGTATTATGCTACAGTTCTCGCCGGGGTGCGAAATATAAATTCATTAAATTTTTAAAGGTATATTATCATTTTGCAACGCAATTTTTGAGGCCCCTCGAGACGACCAGGCCCTAGGACCGCGCCTGTTGGATAATCCGCCACTGTAGGCGAATAATAATTAATAAATTATTAAAGATAAACAGAGGCTTGGTGCATAATCTTGGAATTTAATCGGAATATCACTTGACAAAATCTTATTCTTGTCGCCTCAACAACAAGTGAGATCCTGTTTTCATAATCTAATACCGATTTAGACCAATTAAAATGGATGATTTTACACAATTTAATAATAGAAACTGGGAGTTTTTCGATTAAATTTCCAGTGTCATGTGTTACCTATCAGCTTCACTTTTAATTCTCGAGGGGTGTCCCTTATAATTATATAATTTTTTTAAATATAATAATAATAATGATAAAAAAAAGGTCCAGTTCCTCGAATGTAATTTGATCTTTGTTAGACGAATATTGTCAGATGTGTTGTGACAGCTGCAGTGATATTGACGACAGTTTATTTGTATGAAGGAGGATTTCGGTTCTCTCATTGTTATTGTTTACCCCCCTCATCCTCATCTGTGCAGAGTTTAGTTTAATTTATAGTTTATTTATTATTGAAAAGTAGGAAATTAACTTTTAGAATAACACAGGAGGCTGATGTACACAGAAGAATTCGAGGGGTTTCAGCTGATTTAGAATGATTAAAGATAAAATCATTGCTCTTCTTTCTCTTACATAATTAAATGCTAATTTAATTTGAATCGTTATTCATATTATAAACGTTCTAGAAAAGGGGGAAAAAAAGATTTAATGCTTCGCTTCGTCTGGTGAAACGTTATCCTTTAACTCTCTACAAGGTCGAAGCCACAAGTATGCATAATTATGCAGATTATTGTAATTTCAACTGTGCCATAAGCTGAAAAATTCTTTAATGCGGACAGGGAAACGTTAATTTAAATATATATATAAATTAAATTTAATATATTTTAATTAAAATGTGCCTAAAATACTATTTATTAAAGTTATTACAGTACAGAAACAACATCGATAACTACATTCAAATCTATGTTCGCCTCTGAAATTGGCACTAAATCGAGTGTAGCGCTAAAGCGAAGAACCTCAAACAACAATAACGAAACGACATTACCAAAGTAAAAAATTTTCTATTTAATACTTACTTGAAAGATCCGTTTACAGTCTCTATAAGAGGGTAGCACTGTTTAAGAATCGCGCTATATCGAGGTTTGGATGTAATTAATCAGTATTGTTAACTGGGCGAATTAACTGTGTTAATCTAAAGTCTACGTTGCAAATTATTCATCATTTTACACAGAATAAATAATGACTTTTTAAATTCCGAATAAATATTTATTGCGAATGCATAAGTAAATTTTACTTGCATCAGTGTATATAACTCACACTCCGTCCATTCATTTAATGGAATTCAAACTGCGATTATGAAGCTCAAGCTGTGAATACAATTAACGTGTTCGTATGTAGTGTCGGGTCACTTTTTTCAGGAAAACATTGCTTAATTTACTTGTTTTTTTCTCTTGCAAAATTAACTCGAATATGTAAATAATTTAATGAAACGGGTAATTAATTATTTGTTAATTTTTTCAGGTTTTTTGTCTTTGGATACGTGTTCTGACGTCCAAACTACAACTAGACAAATAATACGTGGTTTGACAGAGACGAAGTTCTTAAATTCGTGTGAACAGCATCGTTTATTGGGTAGGTAAAATGTCAAATTCTTACTCTGTTTGATGAAAATTTAATTAAAACTCGATTTTCAGGATTTCTCGGGCCTTCAAACAGCAGAATTCATAGAGAAGTATTGAATTTCTTACGCCCTTTATCTGTTCCTTACGTCCCCATCAAGATCACGGATTTACATTCGGAAATTAGGGTAAAATTATTCTGTGGACACGTAAAAACGTTTTAGATTAAATAAAGTTTAATGCTTTTCCGTTTTCTAGGTCATAGTTGAAATTTTGGCCCAATTCAGCTGGTTCAAAATCGCTCTCCTAAGCGTTAGTGAGGAACTGGAAGAGGATTTTTACCAAGCTGCTGCTGATTCAAATATATGTGTAACAGTTTCGAGTATAATAACACACTCCAGGTATTGAATTTTGAAGATTTAACACGGTCGAGGAGTTGGATTACATGTTAAAACGCTCGTATCTTTTAAAATTTATTAATTACAGGGATGATTACGATCATTTCTTCAAGGAAACCGTGGAGAAATCAATAGACGTTATTGTTTTATTGGGTACAGAGTACGAGTTAGAAGAATCTATACAATCGGCAAACTCCAACGTACAGAATAAGTTCTACTGGTTGGCAGCAGGATTGATGCAAGAGAATATCGAATTAAACCTAGATTCGTATAAGCCTGTAGTTAGATCTTTGTTAGTAGTCGAATCGTCCGAGATATTAAATAACGAAAAATACGAGAACTTAATTAAGAAATTGGATAACGAAGATTTATGCTTAGATTGCTACGCTTCTGATCCTTCCGTTCGTGCGGCCATGATGGGAGTTTTAAAGTACACTTGGGCAATGAAGAAAATCAAAGATGCCGAATGCCTATCCGAAAATAAGAAGTGTCCGCACTTGAAAAAAATAATTAAAAAGCAATTAATCAAAAAATTGAATGGTAATTTTCACGAGGAATTCAAAGAACTGCCGTTTCAAACTGGAAATTCTACAATATGGTCTTACCAAGATGCAAGCCAAAGCAACGCGATTTTTCATCAGGTAAGTTCAAACTATTTAAAATACGTAGTAAATATAAATACAAATATACAGTTTAGAACTTTAGATTAACGTACAGAATGCCCCATAAATTACAATCTATAGTAAGAAATGTCTCAAAATAGATGATTAGATGGTAATATTGCTGTTCAAGGAACAAATGGCGCTCTGAACTGAAGATCACACCGTATATTTAAGATTTTATTATTAAATCCTAGTATGCAAATCGTAATCCACCGAAAAAAATACAGTAAAATTTAAAAGGAAAGGCTAGATTTAGACTTCTTGTAGCCTTATATTAAACTATAGGACGACAAAGAAGCCCAGAATAATGAATAAATAATGATATGTATATTTTTTAATCGTAATATTTCTCAAACAGTGAAGAAACGTGACGTATATAATCATGGGTTGACTGTGATACGTTTTTTTGAGGAAGGAGTGACGTTCCTTATAATGTGACACCCTGAGTTGTAGCTTGTTTAGCTGATATATACTGTATAACTACTGCTATACTACCCTCTTGACTGTACCTTGCGTACCTATATATAAATCTGGCTGTGTATTGTAATCTGAACCAAGAGCGCCCATAGGAAGACTAGGAGAGGCAGTTGTCTCCCTCTTGACTCTCTCCAAGGTCGCTCATCTTTCAGTGTTACCAAAAAATGTGGATTCGGATCTCATTTGGGATCAAATCATTTATGTTTTTTTGGCAGATACATAGGTTAACACTAAGATTTTCATTCTGTATATGACTTATTTCCTAATTTTGTTTGTTTGTTTGTTAGGTTGGATATTTTGCCCAAAATAAACTAAAGATAAACACAAAGAAACTAGACATTTTGCAACCGATGGGAGGAGGATGGTTTAAAATACCCCATTTCCATTGTGAGAAGAAATGTAACTGCCTGAATGAAGAAGCCATTCGACCCAAGAACACTACTGGAAACGGAATTTGGAAGTCGGCAACATGGGTGACGGTTTGTGTGACCGTTTCCTGTATCGGTATCATTGTATCGGCAACCATTTTAGCTTTTATACTGTATCATATGTGTTCCGGGATATCTCTGGAGGGACACCACGGTTTTATATTGTTAACTTTAATCGGTATTATTATTTTGTACGCATCCGTCCTTCCTTACGCTTTTCACGCGACAGAGACCGTCTGTGCCTTACGAGCCTCCGTTTTGGGCTTGGGTTACGCTGCCGTTTTCTCGCCAATGATCGCTAGATGTTTGATGCTAGCCACTTCTGGCACTTTAGGATTAGCCGGACACATCAATGGGATCATTCAAACGTCGCTGTACTGTTTTATCTTTGGTATACAAGTGGCATTGAGTGCCCAGTATTGGTGGTTGAATCTAGGATCTCACATTTTATACGAAACTCACTGTCCAGCCAGATGTGCCACTAACCAAACCATCACGGTATCTTTATTAATATACAACATGCTGTTACTAGCTACGCTCTTGTTTCTAACACCGTTTTGCATCAAAACAAGAAGGAACTACAGGGAAGGATTGTTTTTCCACTTGGCTAGCTTAGTCACTTTTGCGGTTTGGGTCACGTGGTTTACTTTATATTTTGTATTTTCTTCCGAATGGACTGATCCTGCCCTTTGCTTAGGCTTTGTTTCGACAGCTACTGTTATAGTAGTAATCGTTTTCTTGCCTAGAGTGTATAAAATTGCCACCGCATCCTCCAGAAACAATTCCAAGATGAGACTTAGATCTATAGATCAGTTAACATCGTCAATTCGTTCGAATAATACTTCAAGAAATCTTTACAGTTCTGTTAAAAATACTTTTGGACCCTTAACTAATTCGCAACCTTTAAAAGATGAAGTCGAGTCGGATGTTTATGACGACGGTTCGTTGCCTACCATTACACATCTATAATATAAATAAATTTATCGAAATTCTTTCTTTGTTTAGGAGGAGGAAAATTATTTTTGGATAAACTTTTGTCTTTTTTCTCGATTTTACTCTAAATGAATTTACTCTAAATAGACTTTTTCACAGTGTCTGAAAATATTTTAACATCCGAATTCGTGTATAATTGTAGGATATTGTATGATAATTTCTGAATAATCAACTTATAAAGATTAATATAAGTATTTTGTTCTCTTTTGAAGAAATTTAGCTAATATAAAGGGTGGGCCAATAGTCAATTAACCCACTCTAAAGACAAAACTATCACTTACAATCTGAAAAAATTCGTCAAGATCCTTGTTCAGGACACACGTCACGGGGATTTCGACACACTTCAATTGCTTGAAAACAGCACGGTTAAGTGACTTTTGGATCACCCTATAAAATCAAATTTTACATTAGCCAAATTTCCTCAAGAAATTTCATTATTATTATTATTATTCGAATATTACTGCTTTAAAATAATAACAACATGGCATAAGAGATTAATTTTCACTTGTAATTTTTAAAAAATTATCATAAACCTAGTTGATATTAATGAATTCTTTTTATTTATATAGGAAGAGGCATAATTTAATAACTTATGAGAGAAAAAAAAATATTTTCTGATTTGTTAATTTTATTAATAAATAAATATAACAGGATTAGTGTAAGAGGTCAATGGTTCGATCGAATAGTAAAATCACAAGGTTACATTTTTAGCAACAGGAAAGATACAAAGTGTCGGAACATAAAAGTGAGCAGAAAATAATTATTTTTTAATAGTTTACATTTGTTATGGTTAAAACACTTCACACGATTATTTACACTATTTGCATGAACTATAATCTCCATTGTCTCTTCTCTGTCTATATATCCCGAAATTCACAATGAAAGACACGTGACAGATAATTTCACAGTAAAACCGTCGTTTGCACGCAGTGAAATCATCTGTGACGTGTCTTTCATTAGTATTTCACTAAAAAAAACCATTAAAAATATTTTTTTTTTCAATTTTCGTGCATTAAACACTCAATCATAATTTAAAGTAATTTAAAAACTAACCCACGTATGACTAAGATTTTTTCTCCGATATTTCTCTCTTATATTAGTTCAAGCCTATTTATTTATTGGCTAAATAAAGTTAGCAATATTCCTAGTCCAACAGATTATACTGTTGTATATATATATATATATAATTATGTCAGAATTGAGTGTTAGAATTTCAATTCAGTTAATTAACACTATATTCTTCGTTGACTGATATAAACACGATTGATTTTATGCGATAAATTGATGAAATATTTCAGCAATGTGACCGTGAAATGGAAATAAGCTAGCCACAACAACAACCTTCTTCAAGAAGTCAGAAATCTTCAACTTCAAAATTTCCTTCACGAAGATTTGGAAGTTGTTTACGTTGTATTTAGGTAAGGAATTATTGTTTACTTATTTGGAAGGTATGGAAACAATAATTCCTAATCTTCCTAATAAGAAAACATCATCTTCCAATCAGAAACCTCCTTAAAAAGATGGTTTTTTTTTTTCAAATTGTTTTTGTAAAATTCCATAAAATATGTACAGATGTATGTAATTATTATTGCTTTAATCAAATTTTTGTAATGCTAAATTGATTAAAATCGCAAATGTTTTCTATCTTAGATATGTGCTAAATGAGTAAGAAATTTGTATTAATTTTTGTTTTTAAATCGGAAATTATTTTCCTGACGTAGAGCACTGAAATTATCATGTACAAATTGCGAATATTTCATGATAGTAAAAAGCCACTAAATCCAATTAGTTTCATATAAAAATGTGTTCATTCAATTTACTTAGTTTTGAATTTTTTATATATATATATACGGTATTATATATATTCTATATATATTTTTTCATCAATAAAGTTATATGTTTTTGAAAGTTTTTAGTAGTTTTATTGATTATTAAACAAATCCAGCAACGAGTTGCTTAATTTTCCGGTAATAAAGTTAAAATTGTATATTTTAATAACCTGCGGTAACCAGTACTCCCGCCGTATATGAAGAAAAAGCGTAAGCTTATGCAAAACTACAAAACACGTGACTAGTGTGCTCGCAAAATAATCACGTTATCAAACTCTTACTTGATATGAAAATCGGTCTTAAAAACTTACGTTATTTTTTTACACAATTCCTTCGCCGATTTATTTTTCCAAGCTAATGCGGGCTGCCTTTCCAGCGACACTATGCAAATTAATGAATGGCTTTCCTATTTATATGGGTAATTCTCATTAAATACCCTTGTGTTATCCGCGCAAAACGTGGAATTTTTCGGGATGTGGTCCTTCCGAACATATCGGTCACCGTTGTGGCCCAGCTATGAAGTTACTACAGCCTATATATATATATTAATTGGGCTTCAATTTGATAAAATTGTAGGCGTATAAAGTTAAAAGAAAATTATGATGTATAGGGGCATGCCACTACTAATTTGAGATGGAGAGCATTTATACAGTCGGCCCCCTATAACACTGTTGATAATTCCGTTTTATATGAATTCCATGTTGTACGAGTCACTTAGATTTTACAAATACGCGAGCCGTTCACAGCCCGGCACACGTATTTGTAAAATCTAAGTGACTCGTACAACATGGAATTCATATAAAACGGAATTATCAACAGTGTTATAGGGGGCCGACTGTATTTTAAATTAAAATTTAAAATATGATAAAAAATTACTGCCGGCATTGTGACGATGTCACAATAAATAATTGCTCGTTTTAAATAACTTTATAAAGTTAGTTGGTTTAAGATTTTTTATATATATGTTACCGGCAAAGTATGAAAAGCCGGCATTCTATAGAATACCTAGGCATTGTATATAATGCCTGGCGTTTTTAGGCAATCTATGAAATATGAGAATTATTACATACTTTCCCTAGGCATTGTATATAATACCTAGGCATTCTATAGAATGACAAATGCTATTTAGGCAAAGTATGAAAAAAGGTTCTGATAAGGCTATTATATAAATGACGTGCATTCCTCAAAAATACAAATGTTATTCTGAAAAAATAATGAGAGTGCCATTAAAAAAATTTATTCAAAATACGTAAAGAAAAATGAAAGTTGTACAAAACAAAATTTATGCCTTTCTTATTAAGGGAAACAAAATTTTCATATAAAAAATTACAATTAACCTACTTGTTGCAACATGGTAGGCTTGAATGACATTTTGAATTACATTTCATTACATTTTTCACGCAAAGACATTTCATATTTTGGCACTTTGTTTTACACATACATTTGACGAATCCTTGGCCGCTTCCACTGGACTGAGCAATTGCAACTGACCGGAGAGGAATTTCATGGTCAGGAATATCTTCAATTCTAAGCAAGTTCTTGGGGCATGGAGTGAATTGTGATCTCGCATATACTTGTTTTAAAATTCCTTCAGAAGTTCCAAGTCGGTAGAAACCATCCTCTGTCACACTCATTACAATTGCCAATATATTGCGCGAATCACCTCGCCCCTTGTCGACGTCAGGAATAGGAACTCGCACAGTAGTTCCCAAAGAAGCAGTGGGAAATTTTTTTTCCGAATTTATTTTCATTTTTTGGCTTGTATTTCCAGATTGATTTTAGAATTTATTTTACCTTCAATAGCATTTTCAGTTTTGAAACAAAGGGTGCACAAAATATCCATTTCATCATCTTTACTAGCATGGCCACAGAAGGTATGAATTTTTTGACGACATTTTTTGCATGCAAGTGCATCACTTGTTTCCTTTAAACACACACAACAGGTATCAGAAACGGAAATCTCTTCAGTAAGCATGTCTTCATCGTGTTGGTTTACTCCACTAACGACTATAATCTCATCTTGCGTAATCTGATTAGTTTCACCTTTTTCCATTGTTTTGACGCTTTCTATTACTTTTTCTAGCTGCTCCTCTGTATTTATGTCTTTTAATTCTGGTAGAAAAGAAAGCCCTACTTTAGGTTTGCAGCCAAAAAGAGCTTCGTATGGTGTTCTTTTGATCCCAGAATGATAAGCTCTATTTTTCATAAATTGAACGAAACGTAGTCCTTCACTCCAGCGGTCAGATTTGTTGTCCTGCATCCAAGTACAGAGCATATTTTCGATATCTTGATTAGCTCTTTCGACACTACCCTGGCTTTGTGAATGGCGAGGCTTCCCATGGACGATCTTCAGTGCTGGCCAAAACTCCTTCAAGCTGGTCACCACATTATTCGCAAATTCCCTACCATTGTCAGACTGTAATATAGACGGCGCTCCAAGCAACGAGAATATGTCCACTAGGTTGTAGGCTACTTCTTCAGCTCTTTTCGACGTTAGAGACTTAAGAATCACAAATTTTGTGAGATGATCTTGGTACACCATAATAAATTTGTATTCTCTATCTGGCTGAGACTGAAAGTCAATAAGATCTACTTGACAACGGGAATTAAATTCGGAAAAAATCATAGGTTTCACAACAATGCCCTTTTTAATACCTTTCTGTTTTTTCTGGCAAGGTTCACAAAGGTGGATGTACAGTTCAATATCATGACGTGTAACATTTTTGTATTTGATTGAAAGTTCTTTCAACATTCTATCACGTCCTCCGTGTCCAATAGCCAAATGAGCTTCATGAAGTACGTGAAATAACTCTGAGTCCGTGACGTAATACTGTATAGTACTGACGCCTTCTTTAACAGGATAAATGAGTTTACTTTTGTTTTCTACAATCATCACATCATAGCGATTCAGCAACCAATAGTCCCTGGGTTCCTTCTTAGTAGTCATTTTGGCTTTTTGTACATCATTTATTAACTTCTGGTAAGTAGTTTCGGTTAAGAAAATACTGTTTTTTGCAGCATTAACTCGAATTTTGCACAGTTCATCGTCGAATCGTTGTTTCATGTCTATAGACCATGACACCTTCTCCAACACTACAGCTTGCTCCTCCATTTTCATGGACCACAGTAAAAAACTAATTTTTTGTTGAACAAATTTAAGTAAAATTGCGTATTTTGACACTCCCGAACAAACCGCAAAGTGCAACTGACAAATTCTAAGCCTGAGCCGCTCGTTAAAAGTGACGTGCCTTGCCACGTGATATTTGAAACGAAACGGAGATGTATTTCATACTTTGCCAGTTTCTCATTTGGCATTCTATAGAATGCCTAGGAAATCTATAAAATATAAATCGTTTCATAGATTGCCGGCTAGTTTTAGGCATTATATACAATGCCTAGGCATTCTATAGAATGCCGGATTTCAAACTTTGCCGGTAACATATACATCGTGTGTGTGTGTGTGTGTGTGTGTGTAGGGGGATTATCTCGATGTCGTGCTCCATCCTTCATAACCCAGCTGCTCCATTGCGGACTTAGTTATGGTGATAAATATGATCTTCTTATTACTCCCTACGTCAGTATTTGTATATATTATATATGTAAGCATACACTACTTTATATATGTGTGTATAGTACATATATAAAGTATATACGTGTATGTAATATATATGTGTATATATTATGGACTAAATGATTAATATGGGCATTATGAATAATGACCTATTAATCACTTGGCCGTTAAAAATTAATTAATTAACATATACATATATATATATAGCGTATTGTATACTTATACATAGAGTATATATACACACACTAACTAGTGTAGTGTATATGTATTATATATTACATATACATGAACACTACTCTATAAGGAAATATTGTAAATAAGTTTTTTGCCATAAAAAATATGTATCTGAAAATTTTAATGTTGAAGACAAGTTATAACATGTCTGTAATTTACAGCTTCTTGCATTGTGTACAATTGCAAGAAATTATACGAACCACGAATTGGATATAAATGAATTAAAATTCCATTATTTAAATAATACTTACTTTATTTCGCTTTATTTAAAGTATTTGTAAATATTGAAAAACTTAACAGACGATACTTTGTCTTCCTTGTGATTTTAGCGTCATCTCGTGGAGAAATATTAATATATTCAGAATTTGTTTGAAAATGTAATATTATAGAAATTATTTTTTAATATAATTTTATTCGAATATGTATGAATTGTTTCAACATAATTTAAACGACTAAAGTATTAATTTTTATTTTCTGAAATCAATAACGAAGGTTACTAGATAACACGGTTGTAGAGGTAGCATGTTCGCATGTCACGTGATGAAACACGTTTGCTCCGCGCCTTCGCCATGTTTGTGGTCTAGCTTCCCCTTGCTTAGCTTGCACGTAATTTGTTATATGATAGGTTGACATCGCTTTTTTTCCTATTTAAAGTCAATACAACTGCAGTATTTTTATATCACGGACAAAGTTTAAAAGAAATGTTTTTCTGGCAGGTTATTCTCGCAGTCTGACTGGACGAGATGCTGCTTCATTATGTCAAGATGTTGATCCATACGAAGCCAGCATCTTCGTTGTAGATCAGGTGTTGTGGCCTAAAGTAGAATTTGGTGACAAACTATTTGGTTTTACTACAGATTACTACTCTATTTCACAAGTCATCATGGTATGTTATTTATAAATAATTAAAAATCTGTCAGGAACAACTTGAAGATTACTATGTAAACATTATTTGTTACTAATGTAAAAAATAAAAATAAAAAATCGTTGTAAAAAGTAACATCTTAAAGAAATGTCGCTCACCAAAATAATCTAACATAGCTATATGTAAAGGAACAATGGAAATTATTGGTTTATATCTTACAAAATACACACACATTTATGTAAATTAGACTGGAAGGACAATTGGTTCAAAATGGGTTTCCAATTTTTCATCCGCTAAGCGATTATCTTTGCTTAACACTCTAATATTAATTCTACCGTATATTTATTACGAACAGAGACTAAGAAAACAAACCGAAAGACGAAAAATAAAGTTAAAATATAATCGTTATCTATTCAAACTAAAATCTGCGCTTGTTAAAATTATTTAACTTTATTTTGTCGGGATTAACAAAGGAATTTATGCAACCGGCTTATACACACTTTATGATACTCACTAATAATTTATTGATAATTAATAATTATAAATGTTATTCTTACCTGGAACGAAATGTTTCTGACACACTCTTGTATTGATATTCACTTTGTCCGTATTGAAATTTCTCCGGTTAATTCTCCAGAGCCATGCAAATTGCCTTCTTGGTGAAAGCTCCTCGATGACAATGCAGGAAAATTTTTAAAAAATGACGTTTCTTTGTTCTTGAGTGAACTAGCATACACCCAATCACCCAACAATTTACCATAGTGATATTCGCGAATAAGCAACACAAGAGTTCCAGCTAAAGTGCGCTTAAACACAAATAAAACGTAAAAAAAATTACAAAAGTGGCGCTGAACAATTGCTCACACTCGTGACGTCACTCGTGATGCCTACTTTAAATCTCTCTAATAAACTCAGCGCCCTCTCGTAGCGACAGGAAAGCGAGTTAGCAAATCAGCGGAAGTGTATCACTGTCTGCTTCCCTACCATACGTTGTCAATAACGTTTTCGCCCATTTTGTGGTTATTCTCGACTTACAACAAATTGTTTTAAAGTTATCATTACTAATTTTATGTATTAATCGATCCTTTGCCTTGGCCTGATAAAGCCCTTTTCAAATTCTTTTGTGGCTTGGTCCACAATGAATAATACAGGTGGGTGAAGGACGAGGCCTGAAATATCCGAAACAGACTAGATCTCCGAAAACTTCTTGGGGTTTTACGACCGGCGAATTCAAATACGAATTCCTCAGATCGGTAGGCTTACGCATTAACCTTCTCTTCGGTCACCCGTTTCAGGCACATAGGTAGGGAGGGTGCTCGTTTGCCGGCACGTGATGATCCCGCTGTATTGTATGTACAGTACAGTGCATAAATTTTTATTAAAGTATCTCCGAAACTATATTCACTTTTTTGAAAAAGGATTTTCATTTCTGATTCTCTTTCCAATGACTTCTAAATCATCTTCCTGTGACCATTTACTACGGGGTTACAGAAAACCACACTCTACCTGCAAAATACGATTCAGACTGCTGAGATGTTACGGATGACGACCTACCGCTCCGGGATCCCGTCCCTTACCATTATGAGTTCGGCCGCTGTTTGTGCAATGCCAAAAAAAATTTATGTGCCACGGAACAAAACACAAATTCATTCTAATTAAATTTTTAAATAAATTTTCAATTTAATTTTTAGATAATTTATTAAATTTCAAAAAATGAATAATAATGTGTTTTATCATTATTGTTTAATAAAAATCGATTAACAATGAAATCGTTCTATCTGAAAAATATCGGAAGATTGAAATCGTAAAGGTAATTTGCAATTATATTTCGAATGTTTTCATCAATTTAATAAATTAATTTAAATATTAAGTTATTCATTTATTAGTTTTGTTGAATTCTGCGAAAGGCAATGGGATTACGGCATTACATTATCGAAGATGAATGAAGGCAATCAAATTAAAAAGATTCGGATAGGTTGGAAGGAAATAACGCTTTTGCTGTACCTTAACTCATTGTCTACCATTCGTCTCTAAGCCATCCTCAGAGTTTTCTCCTCGTCGATAAAGCGACACGTTCATCAAATTATATACAAGAAAACAAACATATGTATTGAATTGGAGCAGCATTTCACGCCAATCATGCGATGACTCTACTTTTTGGATTCGCCACAAGATTCAATTTAAAAATAGAACTTAAACTTCTGTGATTTACACCATTCACTCACTAATTCTACTTTTCGAATTTATTACAGGATCTCCCGTCTGAAAGTAGGGCATATTCTGCACAGTCGCTGATAAATTGTGTACCGGCTATAGATAACAATTCGATTGCAGCATCATTTTTTTCCTATCTCAAATAATTTGGGTTGTCGTAATGCGAAAATTATTTGAAATATCCATGGAAATACGAAAGCTGTACCAAAAGTAACCTTTTTATTAATTGACATAAGTCATTCAAGATACACGTTAGTAGAGTAATACTCCCTCTACAGTAATCCCTCTTCATTGCAGGTAAATAATAGATTCCGAACAGAAGCAACGTGCCGTCATCCAGTTCTTGAAGGAAAGGTGCAGGCCGTCGGATACCCACAGAGACTACAGAATGTTTACCAAGTAATATAAAAGATCGATGAAAAAGTTTAACGAAGGACAAACCAACATTGAAGACAAATCACTCAGCATGAAACCATACAGTGGTCTCCCGCTTCGTGGTTTGCCTTCTCTGTTTGACATTCTCACCTCATTGCAGTTGTACGATGTGGTGAGAATGTCAAAGACTTAGAATATCGGACCACCGATCATCAAAGTTTCTTTTGAGTTTTTGGGTAACGAGTATATATAACTACGTTTTGCAGCATAATTTTATAAGAGTAGATTAGTAGACTTTTATAAATGAATAAGGTTGTGGAAATGTTCGATACTTTTGACTGTAAATTAGATCACGCCTCACTATAAATTGGCTGGACCTATGGATCAAAGTGAGAAGATTGCAGTTTTTGACTGTTAGTTTTGTATTATAAGAGTAGGCCTAATAAACATTCCGAATGTGTGGATTAGGGTGGGTGAAACTCTATACGTGAAGTTGACGTGCAGAGTTACACGCATTCTAATTCTAGGTGGAACTCTCACACGGCCACCTCCACGTGGTGAGTTCTGGGTTGTCATTCGTCGAGAAAAGACGAAAGGCAAGCGAAGGGCCGTGTACAGTGATATTGTGTTCGTGTGTGTATGTTGTGTGCGTGTGATCCAAGTACATCTTTCGGTGTGTCTAAAAACAGAAAAACAGTAAATTACGATACGAGAATAAGACGTGTAGAGAAGAGTTCTTACCATCGGAGACTTTGGGAAATATTATAAATGGCTACTTCGTCCTCTTCGTGGTAAAGTTAAGAAGGGAGATTTTTCTCCGTTTCAAATGTTCCTACAAAACACAAAGAGTGAGAAAGCGAAAAGTTCATTTATTATCTAAGGTCAACATTATTTCCTTTATCAGTCTTTCTTCCGAACAGTGTCACGAGAAGAGCGAAGGACCTGACCTAGCCTAATCTAACCTAACCGGAAGCTCAATCCTAATAACAGCTGTTTGGGAAGAAATGTCGGTCGCATGTCGCGTCCAATGAGTAAACGTGTCACGTCAGGGTGGTCACAATCGGGAGTCAAATCCGTTCTCGTCGACCGAGTGTCACATTCGGGAGACAAGTCCGTGATAAGAGACGGTCACGTCAGGGAAAAGGTGTCTAATCCGGTAAGAAAGTCGCATCCGGGTGAAGAAGGACGAATTAGGAAAAATCGAAGAGGATCACCGTCTAGGCCAAGGGAACCGCAGCCGTCCGCAGCAACAAAACCACAGACACCACTGTCCCTCGTCTTCGGCGGCTCTCTCCTCCGATTCCTCGCGTTCCCTTTCCGGAAGGCAGTGGCGTCCCCGTCGCGAACAAACAGGTAGAACGCTAGAAAATAGGAAGTGACAACTCGAACGAGCTGTCACGCCTCTCATCCTCCACAACAAGATCTGTGGCCGGATGACCCCCGAAAACCTTTGTCAAGTGCGACGGATACAGAATGAAGCGTGACATAATCCCGACTCCGGGAGGATGCCACGCCACGCACACTTGGGGAAGGTCTTCATCCTCTGTCTCTAGCTCGATGGCCTCTTCCCACACCGATTGGCAAGAGACACGGTCGAAAACTGCACGAGATTAGCTTGAATAAGTCGATAAATATCTTTTTCGTCCATCGCATGAAATCAATCAAATTCCTAAGATTTCGATTTATTTCACTCGATATTATTTCGCTGTTCGGAGAGATTCGTCTGTCGCCGTCGGGGTTGCTCGTTTCGCGTATTAACGCAACATCAAACTAAATAAAGTTAATATTAAAAAAAAATCGAATAACCTTTATAATACGGCGGAACGAAAATGAAGTCCGAGACAACGGGAAAACCGACACAGAGGATAAACAGATTGATCCAAGGAGAAGCCACCATTTTTTCTTCCTGAATTTCTGGCATTTTTAAGAATGTCTCCCCTAAATTCTTAAACGACGTGGAGGAAGTGACCTACGTAAATCTTTTAGTGTCTTTAGTGGCATACAAAATTATGACACTAATGACGAGTTCTTTCATATCTAAATCTGTTGGTTTTATGGGTTAGATAACTCGGATATGACAGATCCCTTATCGCATTTTTTTTGCTCATTTGTAGGCTTAGTCAAACTACTAAAAGAAAAAGAAAAACCTCTTGATGTCCTCAGAATGGTAAATGGTATTAAAAGTAATCAATAATCGAATGTTTCTAAAAAACTATGCACGTTTCTTCCTCTTTGAAACAACGTTTGGTTTGAAAAGTGCCTATTAAGTAAAATCAAACATTTTCAAGATGAAGCATAAGAAGCGCCGATCCATCCAAGATTTTTAGTTTTTCTGATAATTCTACCTCTGGAGTAGGCTACATTTTAATTGATTTGTTGGTTTTGTAATCAGTGACACACTCGGATTGGAAAATCCCGAGGATTTTTCGAAGGATGGTCCATCTTGGATATGTCGGAACCCAGGCCCATAATGGGTTTGCTAAAAACAGTGCCAAAAGGTCAGAGAAAGTCAAAAATTAGAATAAAACTACACAACGTTTATACACAGGGCCGTGGATAGCGATCACGGGTGCTGACCCTTCGGGGGATTTCGAAAGTGACATTGTACACGGGATGCATCACTCATCTTGGTAGTGTAATTCCTAAGTACTATCTAGAGCCATTTGTGCAATGCAGTCAGGATTTATATTTGCCCTGGTACCAAACACAAATTTATTCCACTTAAAATTTAATTAATTAATTAAATTTTACATAATAATATCAATAATTCTTCGTTGGATATATTTCAAACAATGAATAATAACGTGTTTTATCATTATTGTTTAATAAAAATCGATTAACAATGAGATCGTTCTATCTGAAAAATATCGGAAGATTGAAATCGTAAAGGTAATTTACAATTATATTTCGAATATTTTTATCAATTTAATAAATTAATTTAAATACAGTATTAAGTTATAATTTGATTAGTTTTGTTGAATTCTGCGAAAGGCAATGAGATTACGGCATTACATTATCGAAGATGAATGAAGGCAATCAAATTAAAAAGATTCGGATAGGTTGGAAGAAAATAACGCTTTTGCTGTACCTTAACTCATTGTCCACCATTCGTCTCTAAGCTATCCTCAAAGTTTTCCCCTCGTCGATAAAGCCACACGTTCTTCAAATTATGTACAAGAAAACGAACATATGTCTTGAATTGGAGCAGCATTTCTCGCCAATCATGCGATGACTCTACTTTTTGGATTCGCCACAAGATTAAATTTAAAAACAGAACTTAAACTTCTGTGATTTACACCATTCACTCACTAATTCTACTTTTCGAATTTATTACAGGATCTCCCGTCTGAAAGTAGGACATGCATTCTGCACAGTCGCTGATAAATTGTGTACAGGCTATAGACAACAATTCGATTGCAGCATCATTTTTTTTCCTATCTCAAATAATTTGGGTTGTCGTAATGCGAAAATTATTTGAAATATCCATGGAAACACGGGAGCTATACCAAAAGTAACCTTTTTATTAATTGACACAAGTCGTTCTAGATACACGTTAGTACAGTAATACTCCCTCTACAGTAATCCCTCTTCATTGCAGGTAAATAATAGATTCCGAGCAGAAACAACGTGCCATCATCCAGTTCTTGAAGGAAAGGCACAGGTTGTCGGACATCCACAGAAGACTACAGAATGTTTACCGAGCAATATAGCAGATCGATGAAAAAGTTTAACGTAGGACAAACCAGCACTGAAGACAAATCACTCAGCAGGAAACCATACAGTGGTCTCCGGCTTCGTGGTTTGCCTTCTCTGTTTGACATTCTCACCTCATTGCAGTTGTGCAATGTGGTGAGAATGTCAAAGACTTAGAATATCGGACCACCGATCATCAAAGTTTCTTTCGGGTTTTTAGGTCATGAATATATATAACTACGTTTTGCAGCATAATTTTATAAGAGTGGATTAGTAGACTTTTATAGATGAATAAGGTTGTGGATATATTCGGTACTTTTGATTCTAAATTAGATCACGCCTCACTATAAATTGGCTAGNCATATATTACTCCTGGTTTGGTTTAGAAAACAACTGTTTGGGAAAGAAAACAAAAAGAAGGGAAAACGGTCTAAAAATGCCTTAAGGGACACAACATCAACACTGGGCAGATGTATGTCTAAACATAAAACAGGTTAGTTAACTATTGTGTAAATATATCCATAATTGTTGTAATTTACCGTAATAACAAATGTAATAATCAAATTTACCAATTTCTAGAAATGTAAAACCTAAAGAGGGGTGCAAGTTACAGAAAAATATTGCACCTGAAATGCATAGTAAATAAGTAAATAAAGAATACAAAGATAAGCTTTTGTCTCTTATTAAATGCGGTCCAGGCAAAAAAATGGCGGTTATTTCTGTGGAATTAACCCATGAAGTTTCATCAATTTTTTGAGGAAATATTTTCTTTGAAAAATTGACCTTTTAAAAGATTTTTTTATTATAATCATATTCAAAAATTAATACTTTATTTCATTTTGTTGTTATTTATTTATTTTGGCTTACATGACTTTCAAAATAAACTATCCTATTTATAAATAATTACAAACTCTAATAAAAATATAGATTTTTAAAATAACTTTGTGTTTCTTTTAATAATTTAAAATATCCTCTAAAAAATATATTTAAAGTACTCTGAACTAATTTGATTATTCTCAAAGACTTGTGGAATTAATGTGTGTTTACACATATTAATTCCTTTAAAAATATATTTTTTATGCATTATATAATGCAACATAATATAATTAGTACAGAATAAAATAAATAGAATTAAATACAATATATATATATATATATTATATATAATTCTTTTTATTTTTAATTCCTATTTATTGTTCATTCTTTATATATGTGTCTGTGTGTGTGTGTATAGGAATTATCTTGAAATATGCTTGGTTTAGAAAAGCATATTGTCAAATAAGGAATTAGTGCTTATATATTGAATGATGTTTGTAGTATAAATAATTCAGTTTACTTTTCCTTTAATGTTATAGTCTTGTTTGATCTTTTTGCTATCTTTGATATTAAAACATTGTCAAATTCAGTTATAAATGGATACATGTCATTTTTTAATGGATGCTGTTTAAAGAGGAATGCTTGGTACTTGGTACTTGTGCACTGCAATAATCAAATTAATGACTAAAAAGTTTATTAAATATAATATTGCTATGTACTAATAATTTTTAAGAATATCAATAAACTACTATAGAGTTAATGAAATGGAATAAATTGAACTTGTATAACTATATATATATATATATATATATATATATATATAAATTGAACTGTTTTTGTCATGTGTGACACTGCAACCAATGTTCTTTTTGTTTAAAAAATTTGTTTTAATTATGATCATTGTTCAAATTTATTAGGTTAAATCTGATAACAGCTGTTTAAGATGGTTGAAAATGTTAGCTTGCCTATTAAAGTGTATATTTTGCTAAATATTTGGTGTTGATGTACTCAAGCCACTGCTTGTGATGCCAAAATGAACCTGTAGAATTTTTTGTAATTAATGCTGAATTGGACATCAGGTATGAGGTTCGTCTTGGGTGCCAAAACTTCACTATGGCTCTATTTGAACATCCTGTTTTATGAGGTGTTTGTTTGTATAAATTGAATCAATCAAAATTACAAATTGCATGAAATTTTATCTTAAATTTAATGTAAACAGAAAAATATTTACTTGAAAGTTTTGTCTGGTAACCAAATAAATAATGTTTTTTTTGAAATGTGAATAAAAATGTGTGTATTTTTTGTTTAAAATTATTTTATTCATCAAAATATTCACTTTCACATTCAATTACACTTTCTCAACAGGAGGGCAGTTTGAAAATATTATTTTTATAAATGATTTGAATGATTCCTAAAAAATCTGTGTGTTTGGTGGCCTTTGAGAGGCCACCAACACATGTTCAACTATTTGATTAATGAATAGTTGAACATTGGTCAAACCTTCACAGCAGATTNATTAGATCACGCCTCACTATAAATTGGCTAGACCTATGGATCAAAGTGAGAAGATTGCAGTTTTTGAGTTTTGTATTATAAGAGTAGGCCTAATAAACATTCCGAGTGTGTGGATTAGGGTGGGTGAAACTCTATACGTGAAGTTCACGTGTAGAGTTACACGCATTCTAATTCTAGGTGGAACTCTCACATGGCCACCTCCACGTGGTGAGTTCTGGGTTGTCATTCTTCGAGAAAAGACGAAAGGCAAGCGAAGAGCCGTGTATTTAACTCTTTTCACGTTTCTCTCAATGTTCTTACTGTAATTTGTGTAACGATTAACGAAGACGTGTCATCATCTTAAATAATAATACAGTAATTTAAGGGATTAATGATCATAGCATTAGAAAAATTCACGAACGAAATTCTTTTATATTTAATTTATTTAAATAAAGAAGGACAGAGTTTTAAATTTTATATCAATTAGATTCGTGAATGATTTAATACGACTTTATTCAATCTGCAATTGAAAATTTCAATGAGTTTAAAATGGCGATTGTAACAGGTATCACGTGTGAAACGGGTATCAATTGCTGCTCTGAGGATACGAGTTCAAACTCGGGTATAGCGTTTTTATTACTGTTGCTTTACTTTTCGGCCCTTTCCATTATATTTTCTTCTTCTACTTATTCTACTCTATTTACGCGCTGTTTTCATAAATAGCACCATTTTCACTTTATGTACAGAATAGTTATTTGTACATTGTTGGACGTGTTCAAACCACTTTACTCTACTTTTTTCCAGTTGTATGTGATATGTTCATTCCGAGGCCGTGCATACAGGGGTTTTAGAGGTTTAACTACCCGTTTGAAAAGAATGAAAAAATAAAATAGTATATTGTCTGTAACTTATATTTACATTTTACCAGTCCAGTTTCCTCTTATTCTCCCGTATTGTATTACTCTATATTTTTATACTGTAAAAATTAATAAACCAAGTTATGAAAAAATAATGTGTTTTAGTAACTTCATCCTTCTAATAACTCTAAGCAAGGGCCTGACTCACTCCATATTCTGTCTCATCTATTTCTTCCACTCATCCTTCTAACATTCAAAGCATTTTTGAACAAGATCTTCTTGAAGCTCGTAGAACAGGGGTCACAAACTGGCGGCCCGCGGCCTTGATGGTTACTTATCTAAAAATCAAATCTTGCGGGGGATTAAAACAGAAAAAAATTGAAACGTCTAACTGTTTATGCAAGGCCTGGAAACAAAATGCCTTTTTAAATTTGGTTTTCGGCCCGCATCTGATATAGGCCTACATCAATTTGACTGCTCCTTTGCTGCATTTGAGATCCCTGTCCTAAAGTGTTAGGAACTTCAAGAAGCCCTTGTTCAAAACTGGACTTTGCCCCCGACGAAGCTGATAAACAACGTTATAATCAGCGTAAGGTTTTACGCTGCTCTTATGATATAGGCCATATTAATGCTTACGTGCATAAGTGAAGTTAGATGCTATTGTTTAATACGAATAAGTATTGTTCACTCTCACGTTCTTTTATACATTACAATAAATTAAGAACAAAATTAAACGGTAAATTCGCAATTTTTAATTAATACAGTACACTTTTTACTATTTATTTTTCACAACTATAAATTAAAAAAAAAATAGAAAATAAATTAATAAATGCGTGGTTATATAATAACAAATAAATACATAATACATATAATTGTTTATCATTTAAAAATCTTAATTTAGAAAAAAACAAAAAAAAAATGGCGAAGACTATGGTAAAGACGCCATACCGTAATCTAAATCATCGATAATATTTTCCAATTCCGATCGAATTTTAATATATAAATTGATATATAAATTATATAAAATAATAATAATAACAACAACAACAACGAATCAGATGATATTTAGAAGTTTCGATGTCGTCTGTTTTGATGACGAGATTAATTTTACGGTCGCCATTTTCTCATTCCTGTTGATCGAATATCTGGGATAAATTAGTAATAAACATTGGAAATTTGTTATCGTCGATAACGAAAATGACGTTTGTTTAATTGTATATAAATTATTAAAGTATTTTACATCAGTTATATCGTCGTAGATTACGTATTTGGCGAATGTGAAACCGAAAAAACAATTGCTAAGCCTAAGGACTAGGAAATTATTGAAAAGAAGATTCTAGTTTTAAAATACATTCTGTGAATATATTTATATATATATTTTTTGCTGTCGAAATCATTTTAAAGTAATTAGTTATGATTATTGAAAGTCCAGAAGCATTGAAGGAATGGCTAACAGCCTGTTTAGAACCAAAGTAAGAATATATTTTATTAAATAACTTTATCAATGATGTAAATTAGCTAATAAGTGTGTGTGTGTGATAAGGATCAAAACTGCAGAAATTTAACTACAGAAATGTGTGATTTAACATTTGAAAATGTCAAAAATATGTCTGATCTGTTATATTTTATAAAAAAATATAATGGAAATAAATTCTTATAATTTTTAATCCATTCACATATATTGGTAATCTGAAATTGATACAATTCACATATAAACTGGTTTACAAGATTTGTACTAAAAACTCTTCGAAATAATCCTTTATCGGCAATATTCTTTATTCTTTCCGCAAAGGACGTTGCCGGTGAGGCGTATTTTGAAGTTTTTGATATTTAATCGCATAAAATATGTTTCTAAGCTGAATATAAGGTAAGGGAAACGTAGTAGTAATGTGTTGACGAATTGAATTACTAATCGGGTATAGCGATTTGTAGTTGTAATTCGTAATTTACTTGAAAACATTATAAGTTTGAACTTTATAAAAATATGCCGTATTTTCTTTAATTTATATTTAATTTATTAACTAATTTAGTTTATTAGTTAAGTTATAAATTTTAAGAATTCTTTGCATGACTCGAACATTTAAATGATAATATACTACTGCCGGCTCCGCTTACTTTTGTTAGTAGTATGATGAGACTTTGTAAAATCAATTAAACTTTGATCGGTACATCTGATATATATTGTGTTTATGTATGTATATGTTGATATGTGCTTATTATCCAAATACATATGCATAATACATATGCATAATATATCAACAAAAGCATAAAAGTTTTATAATCAAAAGTAATGTTAAACCATGTTTGTTTTTCATATCAAAAACAAAACTATGAAATTATTGTAGTTTTATAATTCAAGGATTATGGCAATCATTATTTTCCAGTCTTTGGGACTCCATATAAGTAAATTATTTATCAATCATATAAGTATATTTCATATTTATATAGTGAGGTTTTCATTAGAAATATTATTTGTAATTTGTATAATATTATTATTATACACCTGTTTTAATGCAGATTACTCATACAAATATTTTTATCAGACATTCTATATTTGGCAGCAATTGTTTTTTGTAGATATAATTTGTTTTAAACATTACATATGCAAACATATTCAGTTCTACAATCCCTCTATAAATTTGCATTTAAATTTAAATGCAGGGCTATAAGAAGTCTGGCCTGTTCATTTTTGAACAAAATATTAATGATTCTATGTTAAATGAGCCACTCACTTGCCAAATTGATTAACTTCACAAAACAAAAACTATAAAGTATTTTTAAAAATTCCTATTAATATAACAATACATTCTGCAATGTTTATTTAAATTTAAAGTATATAATTTTAAATTTAAATAAACATTGCAGAATGTATTGTTATATTAAAGCATAGTTTTAATATAACAATATATAAAATTAGTTATGCAAAAAATTTAAAAATCATAATGATTATATTAAGATTTCCAAATGGAGTGAATCGATTTGGCCTGTGAACGGCTCAAATGTAGATAAACTTCTTAAATGTCTTATATGACAATATATGATATAAATGTTTTATTGTTTTTATATTAATATAATTTTAACTGATTAATGATCAAATAAATTACAAGATTTTGAGCATTAATGTTGTAGTATGATAATTAGAAAATTGTGTTCATTCATTATTTGTTTATCAATTTATTTGTCACATATTGCATATATTTTGACATGTAAAAATAGACATAAATTATGTAATTTAGAAAGTGCTTTCTTTTTCATTACATAATACAAATTATGAATTCAGATAATTGAAATAGTATAATTACATGTTTTTGCTGTAATTATTTTACATTGTCTGAATGTTTTTATGAATTAGCATATATTAATACTAATAATTTGCAAATTAATAAAGATTAAACTTCAAAATCATTTTTAATAATAGTGTTATTCTGTATATGCATTAAATGAAGTTTATAATTAATGTAAATTAAATGATGATGAATGTTTGTCATTTTAGAAATATTTCTTTCAAATTTGCATGTATTGCATTTTTATTAAAAAATTTATAGTGAAAATATACAAATATCAAATTTATAATTTTATAGGTTTCATATGAAATTATATCTTATACTTTGTTAATTATTGTTTTGTTTGGGAAAGTAATTCTGGAACATTACAAATTTTTATAACAAAATATAAGAATTAAGTTCTATTTCTTTTTGGTAAAATGATAAAGATCATGAAATTCGGATTCTTATGTTCGTATCAAGCTGAATATACATAATGGCATAGAAAATCCTTTGATTAACTTTCATAACATGTTATTATACCAAAATTTAAAAGATAAAAGAATACAAGAATCCTATTTGCAACATCTTCATTACTGTTTTGTTTTGACAAAGAAAAACTTACTATCCAAATTTCTGAAGATATTGTTTTTTAATATATGTATAAAAATAATAATAAATTCAAAAAATTATAGTTAGTAAATAGTTTAATATTTTATCATTTGAAATATGTTTATGAAGATTATTTATGATTTTATTTGGATTGCAAAAACTTGTTCAGAAACTTTCAGAATAACAACAATAAGTAATATTTCAAGTTTCTTGCTTGATTTAAATCTGTCCACTCTGAAATAAAGATCAAGGCAACTATTTTTAGTTTTTTCTCTTCTTGTTCATTTTATATTTCTATTCTGAAACTGTTTCTGAAGAATTCTACAATTAGCTCAACAGGGGAGCAATGATTAAGTTATTTTTGATTTTATTTTTATCTACAGCATAGAATGCTACATTATCTAAAACTGATGATGATGATGATTATACATTTGGATATACAGTACAATGAGTTGTTGATGCTGTCTTAACTCATAATGAATAGAACTTTTAGTTTTATTTTTTAAGAAATACATGACTATCATTTGATACAATTTTTTTTAACACTTATTATTGTAGAATAGATGAATAATACATGCAAACAAACATTTTTGACACACTGAATCTTTCTATAATAATACATGGTAATACAACAAAAATATGCAATAATTATTTTCATATTAATAATGACATATTGCATAATTTTAAAATAAGATTTTTTTACTGTAAGTAATAGATATGTATTATATCAATGGTGCAGTTTTCTTTATATTCTTTTAAAAGGTCGATTTTTCAAAGAAAATATTTCCTCAAAAAATTGATGAAACTTCATGGGTTAATTCCATAGAAATAACTGCCGTTTTTTTGCCTGGACCGCATTTAATCAGAGACAAAAGCTTATCTTTGTATTCTTTATTTACTTATTTACTATGCATTTTGGGTGCAATATATTTGTGTAACTTGCACCCCTCTTCAGGTTTTACATTTCTAGAAATTGGTAAATTTGATTATTACATTTGTTATTATGGTAAATTACAACAATTATGGATATATTTACACAATAGTTAACTAACCTGTTTTATGTTTAGACATACATCTACCCAGAGTTGATGTTGTGTCCCTTAAGGCATTTTTAGACCTTTTCCCTTCTTTTTGTTTTCTTTCCCTTTAGCTCCATCCATTTCCTCCCACACGTTGTCAACCTCCATTCCATCATTTAGGTTTATGGTTTTGTTTTTATTAACGATTTTGAAGTGCTTTTTGAATTTTCGTAGATAACTGTCTTTTTCTCTATGGATTATTTTTACACTTTTTTCATTGATTGTGCATCCAAATTTCCTACAGTGATTTGTCCATGGTGACTGGTTATAATTAAGTCTAATTGCTGCTTTATGTTCTTTTATTCTGGTACCGAGTTGCTTTCCTGTTTCGCCAATGTATATCGCTAGTTTCTCACATGTACATTTTATTTCATATATTACTCCTGGTTTGGTTTAGAAAACAACTGTTTGGGAAAGAAAACAAAAAGAAGGGAAAACGGTCTAAAAATGCCTTAAGGGACACAACATCAACACTGGGCAGATGTATGTCTAAACATAAAACAGGTTAGTTAACTATTGTGTAAATATATCCATAATTGTTGTAATTTACCGTAATAACAAATGTAATAATCAAATTTACCAATTTCTAGAAATGTAAAACCTAAAGAGGGGTGCAAGTTACAGAAAAATATTGCACCTGAAATGCATAGTAAATAAGTAAATAAAGAATACAAAGATAAGCTTTTGTCTCTGATNATAATTATAATAAAGTTACAATAAATTAAGTTAATATATAATTATATATACAGTACCTAATTTATATATAATTATATGTACAGACGAAACTAAACTCAATTTATTTGCCTAAACGTCTGTAGCGTGGCGCTACGGACGGCGGGAGAGTAGTTCAGCTGCCCGATGACGTTTTACGTAATTATAGAAGTTGTTTTACCGTTGTGTACGGATACCGCCACAATTTTTTCGCCGTCTTATAGGAATCGTAACTATAGGAAACAGTTTTATAGGGGGATCTACTGTATATGAGAATCTGGACTTCAACATAAACAGTTTAATGTTGTAACATCAACTTAATCAAGAATCTTCAAATACTGGATTAAAATACAAAAATAATCCCTCATCAAACCCTTTAACCGGTATTAAATAAGAGTAAAATTACATGCAAAGTTTTCGGATCCCAGGGAGGGATCCGAAAACTTAGTCAACTATCTGTCAATTTTCACACCTGGGAGTGTATCTCCTTTTAAATTCTCCACATTGATAAAGATGCTTTCAAGCAACCTTCTGACCTGCTGTCCCAATTTCATCATATTATTATACAGTAGAGCGTTGTTTATCCGAATCAATTGGGGACTGGGGTTGTTTGAATAACTGATTATGTATGAAAAAATATATTAACCTATCCCATGTTGAAATTTTTCTCCATTGTGTGTTGCTTTGTGTTGGATTTTCATCAATGTTAAGCCTAATGTAAATTTTTAAAAATAATAATTGTGACTATTGTATCGTTAAAAATTATTTCTTTATTTTGTACAAACAAAATAAATATATTGAAAAATA